GGTGTGGTGGGAGGTGTCCCTGCCCAGGGCAGGGGGTGGCACTGGGGGGGCTTTAAGCTCCCTTCAACCCAAACCATTCTATGATTCTAGGACTTGATGAATGGTTAGAGTAGGGTAGATGGTTGGACTCGATGATCCCAAGGGTCTCTTCCAACCTGAATGATTCTAGGACTTGACGATGGGCATTTGTGCATCTCTGATGAGGGGACTCGTTTTGGCCGGGGACCCCCTGGAGCAGAGGGTGTCAGACCTGGACACATCTCTCATCCCCGGCCTCGTCCCTCTGCCCTGTCCTGGCCACTTGGCTTCAGCAGTTACCTCTGTGGCCACCAAGTCGTGCCGCGTGGCTGGTTCCCGGGGTCGGTGGCGGTGACCAGCTCCTCTCCCCATCGCGTGCTCGCCCCAACTCCAGCGCAATTTTGGAATTTTACGTGCTATTTTGTCTGAGGCAAAAGTATATATTATTTTTTCTGGTTAGTGTTTCCTGCTTGTCTGCAGGGGACTTGGGAACGGTCCCAAGAAAGAGGAAAGCTGCTTTTTTTCCCCAAGGGTCAAACTGTCCAGCCAAAAAATCCCTGGAATTTAAACAATTGGAGCCCCGTCCTGTTGGGAGCCGAGGGTGGCTCCGAGGCTTCCCACAAGCCCTGGGTGACCCGCACGTAGGGCTGAAGCCAGGGCAGCTTCCGAAAAGTGGAGGGAGCCCACCCGGGGGTGCGGGGTCGTACCTTGCGTTGCAGCCGTTGCCGTGGTGCTTTTCAACAGCTTTTTTGGGGAGAAGGTTTTTGGGGGTGTGTGGGGAGGGGGGAGGAATTTGTAGCTTCTGCCCTTGCGCTGCCTGACAGCATTTCCAAACAAACCCATCTCCTATTAATGGCTGGGAGTTCCTCTGGAGAGAGGCACGGGATCATGGAATCATGTGGGGTTGGAAGGGACCTCTGGGGATCATCAAGTCCAACCCCAACATGGGAGTGGGTCTACCCAGAGCAGGTTGCACAGGATCTTGTCCAGGCGGTTTTTGAATGTCTCCAGAGAAGGAGACTCCACCACCTCTCTGGGCAGCCTCTGCCAGGGCTCTGCCACCCTCACAGGAAAGAAGTTCCTCCTCGTGTTTAGGTGGAACTTCTTATACTCCTGTAGCTTTCCAGGGTGGAAAGAAATTATCAAGGAGATGTCTTGGGGCATCATCGTGTAGCCATAGGAGGAGGGGGAAGGATTTGACACTGAAAGAGGGGAGATTTAGGTGAGATCTTGGGAGGAAATCCTTCCCCCAGAGGGTGGTGAGAGCCTGGCCCAGGTTGGGCAGAGAAGCTGTGGCTGCCCCATCCCTGGAGGGGTTCAAGGGCAGGTTGGAGGGGGCTTGGAGCAACCTGGTGTGGTGGGAGGTGTCCCTGCCCAGGGCAGGGGGTGGCACTGGGGGGGCTTTGAGCTCCCTTCCCACCCAAACCAGTCTGTGATTCTACAAACATGGGCTAGATCCTTGCAAAAGGGATCCTGAGAAGGGTGGGAAAGGCCGGAGCTGTGATGGTGGAAGCCCTGAAGGTGCTAAAGCAGCCTGGGCCGTGCAGGGCGGTGGGAAGCAGGGCTGGCTGGACAGACACACGCACACACTGTCACGAGAGGGTGGTTTTATTGCTCAAACTGCTGCAGGCAGTGTCTGCAGAGCCCGGCACACAGCTCGGCCTTCCCGGGGGGGTTTCCCAGACAAACCAAGGGCTGTTGCTCCAGGAAGGCCTAGGTGCAGCCGGGCTGGGGCATCCGCCAGCGCCGGGCTGGGGGGGCTGCAGTTCATCCCCCAGCTCAGCTACTTCCATCAACACCACCTTCCTGGAAGGTTGGAGACTTTATTATCTTCTGGATGTCTGCAGCTCACTCTGGTTCTCCGAGGAGCCCCATCAGCATGTCCCATGTTTGGTGTCACCCAAGGGCAGAGCACTGGGAGCGTTGGGTTTGCCCACGCCATGGGGAAGCGAGTGTGGGGTGAGTGTCCCGCCCAGCATGGATCTGAGTTGGGGAAAGGCACAGGTGAAGGGCTCACCTCTTGCAGATCCACGGAGGTCTTCAGTTCTGCTTTGTCTTCCTTTAACTGCGACACCGTCGGTGTTGTGGAGCACCACGGTACCACCATCGGCCACCATCAGGCTGCTGCTGGAGGACACTTGTTCTAGTCACCAGCCAACCTCCACCCATCTGCACCCGTGGTAGAATCCCCATCCCTGGAGGGATTTCAAAGCCGGGCAGACGTGGTGCTGAGGGACATGGGGCAGTGGTGGGTTTGGCAGTGCTGGGTTGGTGGTTGGACTCCATGATCTGAAAGGTCCCTTCCAACCTGGACAATTCTATGATTCTATCATCTTTCATGGAGGATGTTTGTCCTTTTGAGAGGATCTGGCTTGAAACAAGGCAGTGGTTGGGGAGGTCAGACATCTCTGTCCCTGGTGCTTTACGTGGCTGCTTTATGTAGAGTTTTGCAGGATAGATTGCCTGAGGAGCATTGGGCGCAGTCAAACTGGGCTGCGAGTGACACCAGGGCACAGCCAGGGCATAGCCTGTACCCCAGTGATGTGACCCCATCCAGGGTGTCACCTGCTGTGGCTTGAAGTGACCCGTTGCTCTCAGCAATGCAGTTTTTAGGAAGCTGACTTGCTATCCCATGGCTTGGGAAGGGCCCCAGGGTGGCTTGGTGCCTGGAGCTCAGGTGGGTCCCTCCCGTGGTGGGACCGAGGGCTCTGGTGGCCCTCACTGAGCTCTCATGTCAGGGGCAGAAGGTGGTGGAGCCGTTCCTTGGCCTGAGTAGGTGACACCCCAAGTGAAGAGGCTGAAGTGTGTTCACGTTGGTCTCACACCACCGTTTCCCTGTGCCCGTTCAGCGGTGGCATCATTCCCTCTGGAATGGGCTGTGGCTCCTTGGCTCTGGAGATGGCACGGCTGGGGAGCAGAGCCTGTGCCCACCAGTGGTGGTGGTGGTGATGCCCATGTCTTCCCAGGGTCCCCTAGTAGAGGAACAGCCCAGGAGATCCCAGCTTCCATTTCTGAGGCCTCTGGATGAGCACACTTTGACCCCCAACATCTCGTGCCTTCCTGCCTCCTCTGGGAAGGTTTGATGCCATGGCCAGGGAGCGTGTCCCTTGGCACCAGGATGTGGTGGTCGGGAAGTGCTGGTGGGACCCAGCAGCAGAGTCCTCCGGGGCAGCAGCTCTGTGTGCTTCCCCCTCCTCGTTTCTGCATCCTCTGGGAGGTGTTTGCACGGAGCTGTGACCTACGAGCATGCACGGACATGGACATGGAGTGGGAAGGTGGGCACGGGCAGCTGGAAAACTTCACCAGGTTGGAAACGGCTTCGATTTGCAAGGGTTAGAATCATAGACTCATTCAGGTTGGAAAAGACCCTTGGGATCATTGAGTCCAACCATCAACCCCACTCTACAAAGTCCTCCCCTACACCATATCCCCCAACACCGCATCTGAACGACTCTTAAACACACTCAGGGATGGTGACTCAACCCTCTCCCTGGGCAGCCTGTTCCAGTCTCTGACCACTCTTGCTGTGAAAAACTCTTTCCTCATGTTCAGTCTAAACCTGTCCTGTTGGAGCTTGAAGCCGTTCCCTCTTGTTCTGTCACTAATTACTTGTGAGAAGAGACCAGCACCAGCCTCTCAACAACGTTCTTTCACGTAGTTGTAGAGAGTGATGAGGTCTCCCCTCAGCCTCCTCTTCCTCAAACAGTCACAGCTCCTTCAATCGCTCTTCGTACGATTTGTTCTCCAGGCCCCTCACCAGCTTCGTTGCCCTCCTCTGCACCCTCCAGATCTCTCTTGTGTTGAGGTGCTCAAAACTGGACACAACACTCGAGGTGTGGCCTCCCCAGGGCTGAGTACGGGGGGACTTTTGGGCTGGAGCAGTGATTTCTGCAGCTTTGTGTCCTGTCAGCCCTTTCTGGCCTCGTTGCCGCCTTATTCCCATCCTCGTCCTCGGGGTGAGTCGGGCCACGGCCTCACAACGAGCCGAGCTTTCCCGCTCCAGTGAAGTCCCAGAAATATCGGGAATTTTCCGCAGCTCCTCACCAGCCAAGTGCAAATGCTGAGGAAATAAAGAAAAATCCCTTGAGGCTTTGAAACCCCGGGGGGATCCTGTGGCCTCTGGCTGCTGGAATTACCCACCGGCCACGGGGAGGGTGTTTGGAAAGTCCCCAGAAATGGGTAAAACTGTGGTGGGAGCTGCCTGGGGTGCGGTGTTGGCGCAGCCTGGGCCTGTGGTATCCCTCTGCCTGTCCCCAAGGAGCAGTGCCACCTCCCAGGGTGGGCCTGGGACACGTGGCCTTTCCTCCCGGGAGTCTGTGCCATGCCTGTGTGTGGCCACCCGGCACCTTGGTGGCCCCCGGGGACCTTGCTGGGTCTGGCAACCCTCACGGGCTCCATGCTGGTTGCAGGTAGCCACCTCGCAGCCCCTCTGCTGGGGGAGCTCCTGTGGCTCCGGGATGGGCACAGGGTGATGGAGGATCCTGGGCTTGGCCAGGGCATCCCCTCACCCTTCCTCCCAGCTTGGGTTTCTCCAGGCAGATCCTGGAGGGGAAGGTGCCTGCCCAGTTCTCCCCCACGGAGGGGACAGGAGGCTGTGGCCAGTGTTCCCCCCTCCCTGGACCATGGTGGGTGCCAGAGAAGGTGGCACAGCCCAGTTTCCCTATATACTCTTTAGGGGACCTGCTGCCACACCATGCTCCCTTCCCTGGGAGCTGGTACCTGGTGGTGTCGGTGCCCAATGGTGTCACTCCCTGGTGGTGTCGGTCCCTGGTGGTGTTGGTGCCCAGTGGTGTCACTCCCTGGTGGTGTTGGTACCTGGTGGTGTCAGGATCTGGAGGTGTCGGTCCCCAGTGGTGTTGGTCCCCAGGGGTGTCGGTACCTGGCAGTGTTGGTACTCAGCGATGTCAGTACCTGGTGGTGTCAGTCCCCGTTGGTGTTAGTGCCTGATGGTGTCAGTCCTTGGTGGTGTTGGTCTCCGGTGGTGTCAGTACCTGATGGTTTCAGTACCCGGTGGTGTTGGTACCCACGGTGTCGGTATCTGGTGGTGTCGGTCCCTGATGGTGTTGGTCTCTGGTGGTGTCAGTACCTGGAGGTGCCGGTACATTGGGTGGTTTCGGTACCTGGTGCTGTCATTCCCTGATGGTGTCAGTACCCAGAGGTGCTGGTTCCTGGTGGTGTCAGTACCTGCTGGTGTCAGTCCCTGGTGGTCCTGGTTCCTGGAGGTGCCAGTACCCAGAGCTGTCGGTACCTGGTAGTGCCAGTTCCCAGAGGTGTTGGTTCCCAGAGCTGTTGGTACCCAATGGTGTCGCTACCTGATGGTGTTGATCCCAGGTGGTGCCAGTTCCCAGAGCTGTTGGTACCCGGAGCTGTTGGTACCCAATGGTGTCGGTACCCGATGGTGTTGGTACCTGATGGTTTTGGTCCCTGGTGGTGTCAGTACCCAGAGGTTCTGGTTCCTGGTGGTGTTGGTACCCAATGGTGTTGGTCCCTGGTGGTGCCAGTTCCCAGAGGTGCTGGTTCCCGGAGCTGTCAGTACCCGATGGTGTCAGTACCTGATGGTGTTGGTCCCTGCTGGTGCCAGTTCCCAGAGGTGTCGGTACCCAGAGCTGTTGGTACCCGATGGTGTTGGTCCCTGGTGGTGCCAGTTCCCCGCGGTGCCAGTGCCCGGAGCTGTCAGCACCCAGCGATTTGCTTTCACACCCTCCAGCCCCCGCAGCTCCCAGCTCCTGCCACCGAAGCGATGTGGGGACGAGGGCAGGGGGGCAATGCGGGGCTCCTCAGGCCCCCCTGACCCCCCTCTCCTCCCCTGCCCTCCCTTGCAGTTCTGCCAACCCAGCGGCTGGCAGCTCTTCACCGAGAGGAACCCCCCCACCTTCTTCGTGGCCGTGCTGACCGACATCAACTCGGAGCGGCACTACTGCGCCTGCTTCACCTTCTGGGAGGCCGTGGAGAGCACGCAGGTACCGGGGGGGGGGCGGGGGGGCAGGTTGGGGAGGGGGATTGACCTTCAGCTTTGGCCGGTGGTTCCCGCTTTCCCCGCGTCGGAGGAATCCGGGCCCTGGCGTCAGAGGCTTGGGAGGGGGAAGAGCATCCTTTCTCTAACGCTGCTGCGTGTCTCCCCAGACTCAGGGCCACTCCAGGAATGGTGATGGGGACGAGGAGGAGGAGGAGGAGGAAGAGGAGCCGTCGTCTCCCGTTCAACCCGCCCAGCTCTTTGCTCCCAAAAGCTTGGTGCTGGTGTCGCGGCTGGACCACGCGGAGGTGTTCAGGGTAAGTTCAAGACGCCCCACGGCCGGGATGGGGGGAGCAGGGAGAGGAAGAGCAACCTCAGTGCAGGCTCCGGGAGCAGGCAGGAGCCACGCGGTCGCTGCAGGAGCAGGAGCTGCAGGAGCCACCCTGGCACGGCCCCCGTGGGAGAGCGGCCCGTCCCCAGTGAGCAGCGAGCCCGGGGGGCAGCTGGTGGCCTTGGCCCCGTTCTGTCCATAGAAAAACGGGGAGGAACAGCCCGTTCCTGCGGGAGCATTTATCTTGGCCATCTTGATTTTCTTGAAAGGTGCTGCATTATGTGGCTGTGAAAGGTTTGGGAGGGCACGGGCTGCAAAGCTGGTGTGTTTACACACTGCCTCCCTGCCTGCTGTGCCGGGGGGGGTACACTGCCCTGCTGCCCCCCCCCTCCGCGGGACGGATCCCCCCGGGATTCGGGCTGGGGTCACCGCTGCCTTGCCCAGGTGCTGGGCTTGCAGGAGGGTGACCTTCCCCCCCAGCCCAGGCTCTGTCCTTCCCTTTTCCCCTCCTGCCCCAGGGATATCTCACCTGGGCTCTGCCCCTTCTTGAAGCTCTGGGTCACAGCCCGCTCTGTGAATGGAGCACACTCTGTTCCCTCGGGGCGTCCAGTGCTCGAGGTGTTAATAACTGGCATTGGGGAAAAATCATTCCATTCTCTGGCCTGGAACCGCTTCAAACAGAAACTTCAGGCTTCGCAGACTCACAAGGGCAAGTGCAGGGTGATGCTCCTGGGGAGGAGTAACCCCCTGCACCAGGACAGGGTGGGGGGGACCTGCTGGAGAGCAGCTCTGGGGAGAAAGACCTGGGAGTCCTGGGGGACACCAGGATGCCCAGGAGCCAGCAATGGGCCCTGGTGGCCAAGAAGGCCAAGGGCATCCTGGGGGGCATCAAGAAGAGCGTGGCCAGCAGATGGAGGGAGGTCATCCTGCCCCTCTGCTCTGCCCTGGGGAGGCCCCAGCTGGAGCACTGGGACCAGTGCTGGGCTCCCCAGTTGCAGAAGGCCAGGGAAGTGGTGGAGAGGGGACAGCAAAGGGCTGCCAAGATGGTGAGGGGACTAGAGCATCTCTGTGCTGAGGAAAGGCTGAGGGACTTGGGTGTGTTTAGTGTGGAGAAGAGCAGAGGGAGGGGGGATCTGCTCAAGGCCTGGCAATCCTTCCAGGGTGGGTGTCAGGAGGATGGGGCCAGGCTTTTCCCAGTGGTGCCCAGGGCCAGGCCAAGAGGGAACGGGCACCAACTGGAGCAGGGGAAGCTCCATGGGAACACCATGAGGAGGCCGTTGTTTGGTGTGAGGGTGGCAGAGGCCTGGCAGAGGCTGCCCAGAGAGGTGGTGGAGTCTCCTTCTCTGGAGACATTGCAGCCCCCCTGGAGATGTTCCTGTGGGACCTGCTCTGGGTGGACCTGCTCTGGCAGGGGGTTGCCCTAGATGATCTCCAGAGGTCCCTGCCAACCCCACATCACTCTGGGGTTCTGTGACTCACACCCTCAGACCAAGTAACAGGTTGGAGGCTCCTGTGGAGGCCTCTGGTCCAACAAAAGACCAGCTGGAGCAGGTTGTCCAGGGTATTGTCCAGCTGGGTTTTGGATATCTCTAAAGGTGGAGACCGTACAAATTCTCTGGGCAGCCTGACCCAGTGTTCAACCACCCTCCCAGTAAAAAAGCCAGTAAAAAAGCCAGTAAAAAAGCACCTATTGAGGTGTTGTGTCGGGAAGGTTGTCTGAGCCCAGGTGAAGCCTGTCTGGGCTGGTTGGGGGTGTCAAACAGTGACTCCTCTCTGGCCAGTGGGACCAGTAACCCCAGTAACCCCCAGGCAGGAGGGAGTATGGACAGTAACAAGCCTGGATCCTCCATCCGTTTCCCTCCTTGCAGGTGGTTCCATCCTATGCTCATCCTCACATCTGGGATGGGGTTTACCATGCCCAGCCCTTCCATGGCGCTGGAATTCTCTCAGAGACAGGAGCTGGTGGTTCTCCAGGCCTGGGAGAGCAGAGCGAGCTCAGCCGGGCTGCGGCGTCGGCCACTCCAGCTGGGCAAACACTGGCCCTGCCTGGGGGTGACTCTGGGGGAAGGTGGGTTGGATAAATGGGTCCAAAACACAGACATTTCCTGCCAGAGTTTCTCCCCCGGGGAGTGCGTGGACATGGTTCCCGGATCGTTTTGGCCCTTGTGTACCTGGCTGGGTTTGTGATTTTGAGGAGCCCAGGAGTGTTTGTGTAGCACCTGGGCCTGCCTGGCTTCATTGCTTGAATTATCCAGCTGTGACACAAACCCAGAAGACTTGTGACAGGCTGAGAGAGCTGGGGGGTTCAGCCTGGAGAAGAGAAGGCTCCGGGGAGACCTTGGAGCCCCTTCCAGTCCCTCAAGGGGCTCCAGGAAAGCTGGGGAGGGACTCTGGATGAGGGAGGGGAGCCCTAGGAGGAGGGGGAAGGGTTTGACCCTGCAAGAGGGGAGATGGAGCTGAGCTGTGGGGAAGAACTTGTTTGGTGGGAGGGTGGTGAGAGCCTGGCCCAGGTTGGGCCCCAAGGAGCTGTGGCTGCCCCATCCCTGGAGGGGTTCAAGGGCAGGTTGGAGGGGGCTTGGCGCCCCGTGGTGTGGTGGGAGGTGTCCCTGCCCAGGGCAGGGGGTGGCACTGGGGGGGCTTTAAGCTCCCTTCAACCCAAACCGCTCTGTGATTCTATGAGATGTCACTGGCTGTCCCCAGAAGGTCTTGCCCCACGTGGAGGGTGACAGAACACACTGTTTCCCTCTCCCTGTCCCTGCCTGTGCCCCATGGGTGAAGGGACTCGTTTCGGTGGCTGAACGTGAAGTGCAGCCTGTTACTTCCCAGCACAAGCCCTGGGTTGTTGTGGCTCCTTCTCTTCTCTGTTCCTGTAGCCCAAACCCCAGACCTGTTGGTCCTCTTGGTCAGCATGAGGCTGGACTGAGAGTCTGTCTCTTGCTCGGGGTGAGGTCAGGCCCCACCGATGTTACACCAGGAGCCTTCTCCACTGCACCTGAACGTGTAGGAGCATGAGCTTGCTCTTCATGCCCAGTGTTCAGTGGCCTCCTTCTCTCAAAGCCTCAGTATTTGTGTTTTCTCTTTTCCTCACTGACGTGGGGAGATGGTTAGAGTTTAAAAAAAAACACCCAGAGGGTGCCTTGAAGACAGATTCCTCAAATTCCTTACTCATCTGTGTGTTAGAGCTGTGTTGAACAGCTACCAGTGCCTGTGCCCTCTGAATCCCTCTGTGCTGGAGCTGGTGCTGCTTCCCGAAAAGAAAAAGAATAGAATCAGAATAATAAGAAAGAGTAAGAATTGTGGAGGAATTTCAAAGCCAGGCAGACATGGTGCTGAGGGACATGGTGGGTCAGTGGTGGGTTTGGCAGTGCTGGGTCCATGGTTGGACTCCATGATCTGAAAGGTCCCTTCCAACCCGGACAATTCTATGACTCTGTGAAAGAGAGGAGAGGAGAGGAGAGGAGAGGAGAGGAGAGGAGAGAGGAGAAGGATTTCAGTTGGAAGGGATGTCCAATAATCACCTGGTCCAGCAGCCAGACCAGTTCAGGGCTGAGCAAAAGCCAAAGCCTGGTGTTGGGGGCATTGCCCAGCCCTCGGTGAAGAAGTGGGGCTCCTTCTCATCCTGGCTTGGGGTTTTTGTGAGACTCGGTGGAGATCCACAGAGATGGGGGTTGCTGGAGTCCAGCTGTTCCCAGTCACCTCTGCCCCTGGAGCAGTTGAGCACCCTGCGCTGCTCCTGCTGGGCTGTAGCCCAGGGGCAGGTCTGGGGGCAGCGCTGGGGGGTGGGTACGGGGATGGGGAGGTGCTGGAAACAAACCCAGCACACATTAAATGTCCCATCCCTCTGGTGGGGACTCCCCGTGGGAGGTGTGAGGGGTCAGACCTCGAGTGCTGCACCCCAGAGCTGACCTGCACAATCTGACGAGCACTGGGAGCCCCTCCACGTGATGGAGCTCCAAACTGGAGCCCCCCCAGCCGCACCCACTGTGATGCTGAGCTCTGCTGTGCTTTCCCCTGCAGAACAGCCTGGGTTTGATCTACACCATCTACGTGGACGGACTGAGCGTGTCCCTGGAGAACGTCATCGGGAACCTCCTGACGTGCACCATCCCCATCACCGGGGGAGCTCAGGTGGGTGACCTGCCCCCTCCCTCCCGACCTCTCCCTGCTCCTGCCTCCTCCCCAGCTCCAGCAGAAGCCGGGGTGTTCCCCTCGGCTGTGTTTTGGGGTAGCTGTGCCGGGGTGAGCTGAGTGAGGCCGATGGCACTCCTGGGCAGACTCTGGCTCAGCGTCCTGACCATGGAGGAGCTGCCGCAGCGCCCTGCTGCTGGTGAGGGCTTGGCTAGAGCAGGCAGCGCCTTCCCAAGTGCTTCTGAGCAGAAACAACAAACCTCTGTGATTTGGAGCCGCTCAGCTCCTCCATCAGCTGAGGAGATGTTGCTGCTTCGCTGAGCTACAGCTTCCCGTGACCGGGCAGCTCGGTCTGGGCTCCTTGCTCCCTCCAGGAGGGAGAAGGGGGTGGCTGGGGCCACCAGCCGCTGACGTAGTCACCGATCGATCTGTGCAAACAATTCCATGGTCTCTGGTCATTCCCGCACCGGGGAGGTCTTGCTCTGATACTCAGGCCTGTCTGGTTGCCTGGAGAGCTGCTCCAGAGCCAAGTGGCCACGGGCCATCTGTGAGAGCACAGACGGGCCAAGCAAGGCTGGCTTTTGCCAGAGGAGCAGTTTGGAGCTCGCTCCTCACACCGCTGGCTCCTGCGTGGCCAGCAGCCCTGAGGGACAGTGCTTGAGGAGCAGCAGCCTCGCTTGTGCCCAGGACTGAGGCCATCGAAGACACCCCTCCTGTTTGTCCCCTCCGAGCCATGTGTTGTCCTTGCTGTCCCCCTCCCGCCCTGGGAAGGCCAGCTGGGCTCAGCCGCGCTCCCGTGAGCGGCAGATGGGTGAGGAAGGGCTAATTGAAGCTGACTTGGAGCTGACAGAAGTGGGGAGAGCCCAGCTGGACCCTCTGGGAGGAGGCGTTGGGAGGCAGCAGCGCAGTGCCCTGCAGCTCTTCTGCCACGCTGGCACCGGGAACGGAACCGCTGACATGGTCCTCTCTCCTGCAGCGGCTTCGCTTTCAGCTGAGCTCCGCTTCCCCCAGCCAAAAATGCCATTTCATTCTCCGATGCCCGGTCTGCACCCGAGTGGAGGAGCCTTTGCAGGGCTGGGGCAGCGCTGCAGGTCCCTGGGGCCTGGAGATAGGGATTTCTTCCACCACTGTGGCCTGTGGCCCCTGCTCTCCTCAACCCCTGGGTCTCTGCAGGCTTCTTGGGTGATGCTTTCTGCTTGGGTGGTGTCCCCCGGGCTGCCATTATGGCCCACCACAGGTTTGGTGCTTCCTCTGGTGATGCAGAGCGATGAGCAGGTCCTGGGGGGGCAGGAGAGGGATGGATGGGGGTCAGATCTGGAGGAGAAAGCTGGGGGCTGTGACTATGCCAAGTGTCCTGGGCTCTCTGGCAGCCAGGGTGAGAGCAGTCACATCCCTGCCGGCTCTGCCCGACCCCGTCCGGTTCCTCCGGAGCCGAGGTGGCTCCTCCAGCCACCGTGGCTCCCTCAGCAGTACTTTTTGGCACCATAATTCGTCACCTCCCCATCGTGGGATGGCTCCGTGCTGCGGGAAGACACAGTGTGCTGCGGGAGGGCAGTTTGGTGGTGGCACGTCCCTCCCCGCGCTCCCCCTCTCCTCCCACTGTGTCCAAGAGCTCTTTCCCAGCGCAGTAGTGTTGCTTGTGCTCTGTGTGTGTGTGTGTGTCCGTGTGTGCGTCTCCTCTCCCAGAGTCCTGGTCCCTGCTCGTTGTTGGCCTCTGCCTGTGTTCGTCACCCCGTTGTCCCGCTGTCGTTGTGTGTTTCTAACTGACTGTGCTATCTCTGTCTGTCTCTACCTCAGCCTGACGCGGACGACGAAGCAGCGGTACGCACACCTTTCCTTCCTCGGGTCTGTCTCCTCGTTAGCGACCTCTCTCATTGCTCTTGCAGCTGGCACGGCTGCAGCTAGTGCAGTGAAGGGTGCCCGGGCTCTTTTCACAGAATCAGAGTCACAGAATGATGTGGGGCTGGCAGGGACCTCTGGAGAGCACCCAGGCCAACCCCCTGCCAGAGCAGGGGCACCCACAGCAGCTCCCACAGCAACGTCTCCAGGGGGGTTGCAATGTCTCCAGAGAAGGAGACTCCACCACCTCTCTGGGCAGCCTCTGCCAGGCCTCTGCCACCCTCACACCAAACAACGGCCTCCTCATGGTGTTCCCATGGAGCTTCCCCTGCTCCAGTTGGTGCCCGTTCCCTCTTGGCCTGGCCCTGGGCACCACTGGGAAAAGCCTGGCCCCATCCTCCTGACACCCACCCTGGAAGGATTGCCAGGCCTTGAGCACATCCCCCCTCCCTCTGCTCTTCTCCACACTAAACACACCCAAGTCCCTCAGCCTTTCCTCAGCACAGAGATGCTCTAGGCCCCTCACCATCTTGGCAGCCCTTTGCTCTGCCCTCTCCACCAGTGCCCTGTCCTTCTGCAACTGGGGAGCCCAGCACTGGTCCCAGTGCTGCAGCTGGGGCCTCCCCAGGGCAGAGCAGAGGGGCAGGATGACCTCCCTCCACCTGCTGGCCACGCTCTTCTTGATGCCCCCCAGGATGCCACTGGCCTTCTTGGCCACCAGGGCCCATTGCTGGCTCCTGGGCATCCTGGTGTCCCCCAGGACCCCCTGGTCTTTCTCCCCAGAGCTGCTCTCCAGCAGGTCCCCCCCAGCCTGTCCTGGTGCAGGGGGTTATCCCTCCCCAGGTGCATCACCCTGCACTTGCCCTTGTTGAATCCCATCAGGTTCCTCTCTGCCCAGCTCAGGCCTGTCCCGGTCTCTCTGGATGGTGGCACAGCCTCCATCTCACACCCCGGGGGGTGTCCGTGTCTCTGTGTGTGCTGTCCCCACGGCTCTGGGAAGGGGCCGTGTTCCTGCACGGCAGCAACCCCGCTCTCCTGGGGGTTGTGGAAGGTCGTGGCGTGGTCTGGAGGAGCGGGTCAGGGGGGCTGGTTCTGCTCTGCCAGCGGGGAGGCGCTGGGGGCAGCGGGTCCCTGGGCCGTGGCGGTGGCGTGAGGTCTGTGGTCCGCGCGAGGCGGGGGGTTACATGGCGAAACCCGCTATTGCACAGCAGCCTGTTCCCTCGGGAGGTGGAGAAAGAGGAGAGGAGGGACGGGTGGCGGGGCCGCGGGGGGGCTGGGGCCGTGCGTTGCCTTCCTCGTGCCTCTGGGAACGAGCTTAGGTCTGGGAAGGGAATTAATTGGAGAAGAAGTGATGAGATGGTGCCCAGTCTGCCTGTCTCCAGACCTTCTCCCAGGAGCCATCCGGGCCCGCTCCCAGGAGGAGCCGTGTCCCGCGGGAGAGGCTGTGGAGCTGGTGCAGCTCCTCTGCCCGGCTGGGCACAGCAGGGGCGAGCTGTTCCCATTCTCCTGGGAGTGCTGGGTGCTGGAGAGCCCTCCTGTGCCACGGTGTGGCTCTTGGGGCTTGCTGCCACCTTCTGCCAGCAGTCCAGGAGGTGCTGGCTGTTCTGGCAGGTCTCGTTCCTCACATTACCCCGTGGCCCTGTGTGTTGTTACGGGGTGCTCGTCCCTCTTCCCACAGCAGCCGGGCTCCAGACACGCTGCCCCGTGGGGTGCCAGGGCCACATGTCCTGGGGAAACCGGGGCTGCCACCGGCTTGGCGAGGCTTGTCCTCGGTGCCTGTGCTCGCCCGGTGCTGGGGCGGCCGCCCGGTGACGGGCTCTGTGTTCTCTTGCAGAGGACGATCTCGCTGGGCGCCGGGGACAGGCAGGTGATCCAGACCCCCATCAATGACTCGCTTCCCGTCAGCAGCTGCAGCGTGGCCCTGCTCTTCCGCCAGCTCGGTGAGACTCGGCCCCACACCTCCTTCTCACCGGGGCCGCTGCCAAAGCCAGCTGGCCGCCTCCTGGGCTCGGAGTTCCCTGCACGTCCCTTCCCACCGCCTTCCCCAGCCCGGCTTGGCAGCTCAGGGCTCTCCTCCAGCTGTGGCCACCTCCGACCGAGCCCTCCCCGCGTCGCCGTCGCTCTCCCAGGAGGGCAGGAACAGGGCAGCTCGGGCACAGACGTGGCCAGATCTCACGGGAAACTGCCTGGGGGGCAGGAAGGAGTGCCCGGAGCTGTGCTGCAATTAGCCTTGTGCCTCTAATTAAAGGACTCTGGCAGCTCAGGAGAGCCGCTGAGCATCTCTCAGAAGAGGGGATTCCCTGGGGGAGGGTGTACATAGAGTCATAGAACAGTCCTGGTTGGAAGGGACCTTTTCATGGAGTTCAACCCTGGACCCAGCACTGCCAAACCCCCCACTGACCCATGGCCCTCAGCACCACGTCTGCCCGGCTTTCAAATCCCTCCAGGGATGGTGCCTCAACCCCTTCCCTGGGAGCTCTGGTCCAAAGCTTAATAACCCTTTCCATGAAGAAATTGTTCCCAGTCTCCATCCTAAACCTCCCCTGGGGCAACTCGAGGCCGTTTCCTCTTGTCCCATGGCCTGTTCCTTGGGAGAAGAGCCCGACTCCCCCTGGCTACACCCTCCTTTCAGGGAGTTGGAGAGAGCGAGAAGGTCTCCCCTCAGCCTCCTTTTCTCCAGGCTGAACACCCCCAGCTCCCTCAGTCGCTCCTCACCAGACTTGGTCTTCACCCCCCTCCCCAGCTCCATTGCCCTTCTCTGGACACACTCCAGCCCCTCAAGGTCTTTCCTGTCATGGGGGGCCCAAGCCCTCGAGATGGGGCCTCACCAGTGCCCAGTTCAGGGGGACAGTCATTGCCCCAGTCCTGCTGGCCTGGCACAGGCCAGGGTGCTGTTGGGTTCTTGGGCACATGGGTGACCCAGGAGTGGCTCTCTGGGAGGGTGTTGAGCTCCTCTGTTGTGTGGAATGTGGAGATGGGGAGTGAGATCCAGCCTTTGGGGGGGGTTAGTGGTCTCTGGGGGGTGCGGGAGGGGAACCCCCTTGCTGAGTGTTGTTCTCTCCCTCTCTCCCCAGGCATCACCAACGTGCTGTATCTCTTCTGTGCGGCGCTCACCGAACACAAGATCCTGTTTCTCTCCAGCAGTTACCAGAGGCTGACCGACGCCTGCCGGGCTCTCCTCGCCCTTATGTTCCCCCTCAAGTACAGGTGAGGGATCCCCACTGTTCCTGGAGCCCCCCAGCCCTCCAGCAGTGACCTAGAGCCGAGCCGGTGCTGCCTGCCCTGCCTGCCCCTGGCTTCACGCCCTGCCTCCCCTTCCATGGCTGTGACCGTGTTTGGGGCGCTGCTGGCCAAGGGGCAGGTGAACACCCACAGGTCTTTGCTGAATGTCTCTTTCCTCAAGCTTTTGGTGTGTAATTCCGGAGTGTGTCCACGCTGGTGACACACCTTCCACCCCTGGCTCCCTCCTCTCCGGGGCTGTAGCTGAGGAAGCAGGAGCGAGGCACTACAGGCAGGGTCTGTAGCTCCAGGAGCTGCTGGCTTGCACTTTTCCAAGCCGTGGTGACCCGTGACAGAGGGAAGGGAGCCCGTCCAGCCATGGGAGATGGTCCGGCAGTGCCTGTGCTCTGTGTGAGAGAGGCTGGAGGTGTTTATCTCTCCAGAATCCATCCCCTTTCCCTTCTTCCAGCCGTGTCGCAGCCTGTGGGGGGCACAGAACCTCAGTGCTCAAACCCCGGGCACGGGGTCTGGCTGGACGGGGAGGCCGGACACTGGGAGGCTTCCAGAAAGCCCTGGAGCAGGTTCTGCCCTCCCCAGAACGGGACACGCACATACGGGGTGTGTGTTAAGGGCCTGGTGGTGGTGGCCAAGTCGTGGTGACTCCTGTGGGACGGCTGCCACCCTGCTGGCCCCGGCCCCAGGGAGCCTTGGCGAGGGGGACTGGGCCAGGGAGGGGGACACCAGCTCACAAACTGGCCGCCACTGGGGCTGTTTGCACATCTCCCAGGCAGGACAGAGGGGATAGACGGGCCATTGTTGCTGCCGGCTCCCCTCGCACTGTTTCCACGCGGGCCTGCCATAGCCCTGGGCTATTTGTGCTCCAAAGAAAGCTTTCTTTTGGAGTTAAATCTCTGCTGGAACCCTTTCCCTCGGTCAGACTTGGAGTATAACTCCGGGGCCAGAGGATGATCATGGTCAAGTGTCCACAAGCCCTCAGAAACCTCGTGCACGTACTGCCCGGAGGGGTGAGAGTGGCAGGAGACAGCCTGGCGTCCTGGGGTCACCCCACAGCCTCCGGCGGGGGGGCCGTTGGGTGCCGGGGTGCTCGGGGGGCGAGCAGGGCTCCACCGCCTGCAGCCACGCTCTGTTTTTTGGTTGCAGTTTCACGTACGTGCCCATCTTGCCCGCGCAGCTCCTGGAGGTGCTGAGCACACCAACACCCTTCATCATCGGGGTCCACTCCATCTTCCAGTCGGAGACGCAGGAGCTGGTGAGAGCCCCTTGTGCCGGGGGAGGAGCGGGGGCCGTGTGCCGGGTCCCAGACGGCAGCGAACGCTGTCCTGAGGGTGCTGGGGGCAGCGGGCTGAGCCCGACGGCTCGCACAGGCTCTGCTTGTTCAGCCCAGCCAGCCCGGGCTACGGTCCAGCCCTGCCACATGAGCCAAACGGGGCTGGCCGGGCCACGCGTCGCCGGGGCTCTGGGCCATGGTGCCCGCACAGCAGCGGAGGGGTGAGCTGAGGATATCTGACTGTGAAACTCGGCCCGTCCAGGAGGCTGTGGTGGGGCTTCAGGCTTCAGATCAGAACCGGAATTAAATCAAAGCGCGATGAGTCTGATCTGAACCGAGCCAAGCTGTCCCACAGCCTCCAGAACAAACTCAGCCATCCCTTTGGCTGACAGGGGGACCACCAGCCAGCAATGGGCCTGGTGGCCAAGAAGGCCAAGGGCATCCTGGGGGGCATCAAGAAGAGCGTGGCCAGCAGGTGGAGGGAGGTCATCCTGCCCCTCTGCTCTGCCCTGGGGAGGCCCCAGCTGGAGCACTGGGACCAGTGCTGGGCTCCCCAGTTCCAGAAGGACAGGGAAGTGGTGGAGAGGGCAGAGCAAAGGGCTGCCAAGATGGTGAGGGGCCTAGAGCATCTGTGTGCTGAGGAAAGGCTGAGGGACTTGGGTGTGTTTAGTGTGGAGAAGAGCAGAGGGAGGGGGGATCTGCTCAAGGCCTGGCAATCCTTCCAGGGTGGGTGTCAGGAGGATGGGGCCAGGCTTTTCCCAGTGGTGCCCAGGGCCAGGCCAAGAGGGAACAGGCACCAACTGGAGCAGGGGAAGCTCCATGGGAACACCATGAGGAGGCCGTTGTTTGGTGTGAGGGTGGCAGAGGCCTGGCAGAGGCTGCCCAGAGAGGTGGTGGAGTCTCCTTCTCTGGAGACATTGCAACCCCCCTGGAGACGTTGCTGTGGGAGCTGCTGTGGGTTGCCTCTCCAGAGGTCCCTGCCAACCCCAGGTCACACTGTGACTGTGACTGTAACAGGGTGGCCCCTGTGTCAGGCTGCTTTTTGACACCTCACCCAGGCTGATGCCACAAAGTCACAGCAGATGCCTACTGTGCAAAGCCATGTCCCTCTCCTGCCAGGTTGTCCCCCCTCTGCCACCCTCGCTGGTGCTGGGATCCCTTCACAGCTTGTGTGTTGACAAACACTTGGGTTTGGTGACCGTGGAGAAGAGGCAGTAACTCCCGAGGTGGTGGGGAGGGTGTTGGGAAGCCGGGCCGTGTCTCACGCCTCTCCTGCCACTTCCAGCTGGACGTTGTCATCGCAGACCTGGATGGTGGCACAGTGAATGTCCCCGAGTGTGTACATATCTCCCTGCTCCCTGAACCTCTGCTCCAGCAGACCCGGGAAGCCCTCTCCATGGTGAGTCCGTGGCCTTTCCCCCGTCCATGGGGTGCAGACACCTCGGAGCCGGACACATTGCCCAGGGGAGCTGGGAAGGGAGCAGCAGGGACTCCTCCAAGAGCAGAGTCTTGAGGTCCTGCTGACCATGTCACATGAGACCTTTCCTGGTCCTTGACAGCCCCCGGTGCGTGGCAGTGCCGGAGAAAGGCTTTTTCTGCCAGAAGTTTCTGGGAATCGGGCGCTGGCTCCCGGCCTGCGGGCAGGAAGCAGCTGCGGCCCCGGAGCTTTCCTGGCGTCTCACGCGTTCCCCCGGCCGTGCCAGAGCGCTCCTGGGGCAGCCATCCCACACAAACGCTGCCCCTCAGCTTCTGCCCCTCAGCTGGGGCTGTGAGGGGGCTGTTCTGGCTCAGTCCTGCAGATCTGAGCCCCCCAGCCCTCCCCTACATCTCCCCCTTCCCCGCTGCCCCCGGCTGCGCTGTCCTGAGCTCCGAGCTCTGGGCACAGGGGCTTCCCCTCGGGGCTTCCCTTGTGCCACAGGGTGTTTCCTGACACCTGGTGGTTCCAGTCCCGTGGGTTGGTTTCCAAGCCCCTGGGACCTTTTCTGGGGGTGCTGTTGGGTCTCAGGGGGAAGCTGCTTCCCTTTTTTCCAGCTGTGGAAAAGGGCAGAGCTGCCCCTGCACCCCAGCTGAGCCAGCTTTGTGCCTTGTCTGTGCAGGTCTTGGACCCTGAGCTGGAGGTGGCAGATCTCGCATTCCCCCCTTCAACGATTTCTGCCTCTTCTCTCAAAATGCAGGTGAGTGGAGCAGGGAGGGAGGGGGACCCTGGACACCCCATTTCTGGGGCAGGGAGTGGACAGGCAGGGTCTCAGGCCTGTCTCCATCTTGATGTTGCTGAGGCTGAGAGGCAACACCAAGGGACACCAAGGCCACGGCTCCTGGTGGTGCTGGGTTTGCTGCCATGCTGGAGCAGGGTTGGAAGAAGACACCCAGCTTTTGGGCACTTTGGCAAACCCCGGGGCTGTGAGAGCTCCCTTTCCCCCGTGCAGTGTCAGGGACACTGTGCAGGGGAGGCAGGACAGGGAACCCAGCTCTGCCGGGTCACTTTTCCCCTGGAATCTCTGCCTGGTTTCCTGCCCCACTCAGCAGAAGCTGCCCCTGACACGTGGTGCGATCCCCTCGCCTCTGTGCTGGGTGGAAATTCCTGTCCCGTGGGCTGGCTCTGCCCGAGCTCTGCCCACCCTCTCCTTCCCTCTTCCCAGGACAAGGAGATCCGGGCCGTCTTCCTCCGCTTGTTTGCACAGCTGCTGCAGGGCTACCGCTGGTGCCTGCACATCATCCGCATCCATCCCGAGCCCGTCATACGATTCCATAAGGTGAGACACGGGCACACACCTGGGCAAGGGCTGCCTGGCACCTCTGGCACCAGCCTGGCTCCCATCTGAGCCCCCCTGGCTGGGGAAAAAGGCTGCTGGGAGCGGTGTGATGGGTCCTGGCCAGTGTGGGAGGGCAGGGAGCCTGTGTCTGCAGCATCTCCCTCTGCTCTGCTGCCTCCTCCCCCCCCAGCAGAGTTATTTCTTCTGCCTGGGCTGTGGAATGACTCTTCTGCAGGTGGGTTGGGATGAGTTGATGCGTGAAGAGGCTGTTTGCACAAATACAGCTGTCTCCAGAAGACAGTTCTGTGTTTGCAGCAAGTGACCCCTCCTGCATCGCTCCTGGGTCCACCTGCATCCCTTGTTTGTCCTTGGCCGTCCCGAGGTCCTGCAGGTCAGAGGGTGCTTCCCTGTTTATGCCCGTGTGTGGTCAGTGGCAGCTGGAATCCTCTCTGCCTGCTGTCAAGCAGCCTTTGAGGCTCACAGAAGGTGTCCTTCACCTCCTGGCCTGGAGCTGGGGATTTTTCTAAGATCTGGGGAGAGGAAGGAGGCAGGGGCTGCCCCTCCACCACTTCTCTTGTGTTTGCTCTGCCAGAAAGGGCTGGTGGGGCTGGGGGAGCAGGGAGAAGCTGGAGGTGTTTGGGCATCCACAGAGGAAACCTGACACAGGAGAAGGTGACAGGGAAGGGGAGCGAGAGCAGGAGGACTCGAGTGTCACGGCTTGGGGTGGCCACGTCACACAGTCACTGAGGTCACTGAGGACATTATGGCTGGTGGCACCCTCTGCCCTGCCTGCCCCGAGGCCCAGGGGACCATACCTTGTCCCCACAAATGTCCCCGTGCACGTCCGGGGCTCGTGCTTCACCAGCGGCTGCTCCGTGCTGTGTCACATGCGCTGGTCCCTGATGTTTAGAGTCAGCAGCGTGTCCATAAGGGTTTTGAGCTATTTTTGGTTTAATGCTCAATAAAAAGTTATTCCCGGCGAAGATTCAGTCGTTCCATAAAATCATAAACGTGCAGTAAATGTGAGAAAATGCCCCTTCATAAAACTGCTGTAAAAGGAACGACGCATCATGAACTTGCATTTCATAAAATCATTGAAGCATCATGAACTTACATTTCGTAAAATGGTACAGCAGCGCTGTGCAGTGCGAAACAGCCTGAACTTCACTTGTTTAGCTCCTTGGTCACGGCAGCACCCCTCTCCCCACGGGTGCAGGGCCACGGGACGGGGCAGCCCATGTCCTGGTGCAGTGCCCATGGCTCCAGCATCGAGCCCTGCTCCCCTCGGCGTCTTCCTGTGGGACAAGGCTGGGCCAGCTCCTCCCCAGAGCGGCCAGGAGGGCGAGTGTAGGTGGCAGAGTGGCCAGGAGGTCCATAGGGTCATTGTGGCTGTGGGGGAGCGGTCCCTGCCATAGCACCCTCCTCCTGTCCCTCTCGGTGAGTCTGGATGCAGCAAGTGGGTGAAGGGCTTCAGAGGAGTGAGAGCTGGTCCCCTCTGATGGCCTCTGGAGGCACATGGTGGGCCATAAGCAGCAGTTCTCATGTAGGATGAGCTCTGTGGAGAGTCCTAAGAGCTTTCTGCAGCACAGGAAGGACAAGGAGCTGTTGGAGGGGGCCAGAAGAGGCCCCGGAGATGCTGGGAGGGCTGGAGCCCCTCTGCTGGGAGGGGGGGCTGAGAGAGTGGGGGGGGGTTCAGCCTGGAGAAGAGAAGGCTCCGGGGAGACCTTGGAGCCCCTTCCAGTCCCTCAAGGGGGGGGCTCCAGGAGAGCTGGGGAGGGACTCTGGATGAGGGAGGGGAGCCCTAGGAGGAGGGGGAAGGGTTGGACCCTGCAAGAGGGGAGATGGAGCTGAGCTGTGGGGAAGAACTTGTTTGGTGGGAGGGTGGTGAGAGCCTGGCCCAGGTTGGCCAGAGAAGCTGTGGCTGCCCCATCCCTGGAGGGGTTCAAGGGCAGGTTGGAGGGGGCTTGGAGCAACGTGGTGTGGTGGGAGGTGTCCCTGCCCAGGGCAGGGGGGTGGGACTCAATGATCTTTAAGGTCCCTTCCCACCCAAACCAGTCTATGATTCTGTGCAGACCCAGGAAACCTGGTGTTTCGGGCTCCCTTTGTGGCACTGGTGAGAAGCTCCTTCAAAGCTACATTTGGGGAGCAGATGGGGTGAACCCACCTTGTGCAGGCTGAGGTCCTTGTCCCAGCTGTGACGAGGAGCCTGTGGCCTCTGTGCCCCCGTTTTCCCTGGTGCTGGTTCTCCTCACTTGCCACCAAGTATGTCCTGCTGCAAACGTGTCACTGCCACAGGCTGGAGGCTCAGGTTTCTGTGCAAACCCCGACCTTGCACCCGCGTGGGACGGGGAAGGAGATGGTGTGGTCCCACTGCTGCACAGACACCGGTCCTTCCTGCTGGTGATGTTGTCCCCCACGCTGCCAGCTCATCTGGCATGGCTGATGGCACCTTCTCCCCTCTTCCAGGCCGCCTTCCTGGGGCAGAGGGGGCTGACGGAGGACGACTTCCTCACCAAGGTGCTGGAGGGCATGGCCTTCGCTGGCTTCGTCACCGAGCGGGGGGCCCCGTACCGCTCCATCGACCTCTTCGATGAGGTAAGCAGAGTTTTGGGGAGCAGCAATCCCCTGCCCGGCTGTCCCCTGTGTCCTCGCTCTGCCGGGCTCTGCCTGCCCCTCGAGGGACAGCCGGGGTCTGCCGGGACACTCCGGGTGATGGGAAGGGTGGTCAGACCCTGCCCCACTGCTCCTCTCACCCGTCCCTGCTCCCCCCAGCTGGTGGCTTACGAAGTGAAGCGCATGCGCGCGGAAGAGGGGAACAAGCAGAAAATACTGCGGCACATCAAGGAGCTGGCGGAGAAACTTTACAAAAATGTGAGTCCCGGGGGCACGAGCCCCCTCGGGTCGGGGGGGAATGGGGCAGGGAGAGCATGGGACTGTCCTCCATCCACAAGCTCTTAATGTGTCCCACCCTGCACTGTCACCCGGGGCAGGGAACATAGTGATGGACCTGGCAGGGTCTGGCCTGGTGTGAGCTGCTCCCAGGAGGGGGATTCAACAGAGAGTTGGGGGGGTTCAGCCTGGAGAAGAGAAGGCTCCGGGGAGACCTTGGAGCCCCTTCCAGGCGAGGGCTCCAGGAGAGATGGGGAGGGACTCTTGACCCCCGACTCTTGGGGCTGCAGGTTTTGGGGGCTGTAGGTACCATCTGGGCGAGCGTTTGAGCTCAGAGCAGTGGGGGTTGCTGAGGGATGTCTCGCTGGGGCTCCTGCCCTGGGAGAGGACGTGTGATGGCCACATCCCTGAAAAGAAACTGTCTTTGCTGTGCCAGGAGAACCCGTACCCCGCGGTGACCATGCACAAGGTGCAGAAGCCCACGGAAGGTTGTCACCTGCGCCTCCACCAGAAGCCTTTCCCCCGCCTGGACGAGGGGACGGTGCAGTGGATCATCGACCAGGCCACGGCCAAGCTGCAGACGGCTCCTCCTGCTGTGAAGGCAGAGAAGAAGTGCATGGTGCCATCGGGACCCCCCATCGGTAGGTGGGCACAGAGGGCCTTGCCCTGTGAAGAGAGGCCCCCTCAGGAGGAGCTTTGCTGTGGTGTTGCTGGCTCCTTGTCACACCACGGTATGTCCAAGAGTCCTGCGTGCCATGGAGAAGCAGCAGCACCATCCCCATTAGCTTCTGTCCCTCAGGCTGCTTAGAGCTCCCCAGACTCTATCACCCAGCGTGAGGGGATGGCTGAAGACCCCATAGGGTTCTTCCAGCGTGAGCTCTTGGAGCTCTGAGCGCTGCCCATGGTGGCTGGACAGGGGGCTCCCATCTCTCCCCACCCTGGGGGGAAAGTCCTGCCCTGGTGGAACTCATAGGCTGTTCCCTCCCCAGCTGCCATCATGGAGCGCAACGGCAATGCCCTGGCCAACAGCGCCCGTCGCCTGGAGGTGGTCAGGAACTGCATCTCCTACGTCTTTGAGAACAAGATGTTAGAAGCCAAAAAGGTGAGGGGGTTCCTGAGGAGCAGGTGGTTGAGGGGAGGAGAAGGGGGGGCTGCTCTGCCTCTCTGTGATGGCCAACTGAAGAGGACATTCCCTGCCCATGTCCAGATCTCTGCTGCCCAGTTCTGTTCCCCCATTCACATGTTCCCCTCCCAGCACGGTTCCTCCTTGGTGTGTCCCTGGGCTTTTGGCCAGTCTGTGCCCACTTAGCACTATTTCTGTGTCTCCTGCTGCCTCCCGGGGTCTGTCCTGTGGAGATAACGGGGCTGGGGTCCTCCCCGAGTGGAGCAGGGACCTTGCAGGGCTGTGTTCCTGCTGCCCAGGCCTGGGGTTTACACAGAATGACCTGGGGTTGGCAGGGACCTCTGGAGAGCACCCAGGCCAACCCCCTGCCAGAGCAGGGGCACCCACAGCAGCTCCCACAGCAACGTCTCCAGGGGGGTTGCAATGTCTCCAGAGAAGGAGACTCCACCACCTCTCTGGGCAGCCTCTGCCAGGCCTCTGCCACCCTCACACCAAACAACGGCCTCCTCAGGGGGGTCCCATGGAGCTTCCCCTGCTCCAGTTGGTGCCCGTTCCCTCTTGGCCTGGCCCTGGGCGCCACTGGGAAAAGCCTGGCCCCATCCTCCTGACACCCCCCCTGGAAGGATTGCCAGGCCTTGAGCAGATCCCCCCTCCCTCTGCTCTTCTCCACACTAAACACACCCAAGTCCCTCAGCCTTTCCTCCGCACACAGATGCTCTAGGCCCCTCACCATCTCTAATTCTGCTCTGCTTTGCCTCCACGTCGGAGCGCGGATGCACTCTCTGTAAACACCCTGGTGTCAGCCAGCGCAGGCAGGATGCGAAGCCCCCCCTGCGCCTCCTCCTTGTTGGGCTGCCCTTGAACTCTCCATCCCACCCCAGAGCTCAGCTGGGCCCCGTCCTTCCACTCCCTGACCTTCTTCTTCCCGCTGCAGTTGTTCCCGGCCGTGCTGCGGGCCATGAAGGGCCGCGCCGCCAGGCACTGCCTCACCCAGGAGCTGAACCTCCACGTGCAGCAGAACCGGGCCGTGCTGGATCACCAGCAGTTTGACTTCATCATCCGCATGATGAACTGCTGCCTGCAGGTAGGAGAGGGCCGGGCAGAGCCTGGTGGCTCTGAGGAAGGAGGTTGTCTCCCCTCCTGGCAGACGTCGGGGTGCAGGGAGTGGGTCTGGGGGGGTCTTGTGGCAAGTCCTCTCACACCTCTGCTGTCTCCCCCCAGGACTGCACCGCCATGGACGAGCACGGGATTGCAGCCGCTCTCTTGCCGCTGGTCACCGCGTTCTGCAGAGTGAGTATCTGTGGCATCCCCACACCAGGGCACCTTGGAGCCCCCCCACACTGAGCCAGCAGTGTGCCCAGGTGGCCAAGAAAGCCAACAGCATCCTGGCCTGTATCAGGAACAGCGTGGCAAGTAGGGCCTGAGAGGTGATTGTCCCCCTGTACTGGGCACTGGTGAGGCCTCACCTTGAGTACTGTGTCCAGTTTTGGGCCCCCTACCATAAAAAAGACATTGAGGTGCTGGAGCGGGTCCAGAGAAGGGCGACAAAGATGGTGAGGGGGCTGGAGCACAAGTCTTATGAGGAGAGGCTGAGGGAGCTGGGGTTATTCAGCCTGGAGAAGAGGAGGCTGAGGGGAGACCTTATTGCTCTCTCCAACTCCCTGAAAGGAGGGTGTAGAGAGGTGGGGGCTGGTCTCTTTTCTCAAGTCAGAGGCGACAGGACGAGAGGAAATGGCCTCAAGTTATGCCAGGGGAGGTTCAGGCTGGATATTAGGAAAATTTTTTTCACTGAAAGGGTTCTCAGGCATTGGAATGGGCTGCCCAGGGAGGGGGTTGAGGCCCCATCCCTGGAGGGGTTCAAAAGCCGGGTTGATGTAGTGCTGGGAGGTCTGGTTTAGTGATGATGCTCCTTGTTTGTTGTGCGGGTGTCTATTTTTGTCAGTGAGGTTGACAGTTGGACAAGATGATCTTTAAGGTCCCTTCCAACCTAGAAGATTCTGTGATTCTGTGATTCTGTGAAGAATGACAGGTTGTCCCCTCGGTGCTGCTCAGAGTTACGGGGTCCTGCCCAGTCGCTCCCAACCACTCTCTGTGCTGGTCTCGGCTCCCGAGGTGGCTGGAACACCAGTGGGAAGGGTGCTCAGAAGCTGGGGCTGCTCTGAAGCACCAGCTTCATCTGTGGGTCACGCTGGGCTGAGAGAAGGTTCTGCCTGCCATAAAGCATCCATGGGGCCCTGCAGGGCTCTGGGTGGATGCTGGGCAAATTTGGGAAGTGTTTCCAAGGGATGCTTGGAGAAGCTCTGATGCAGTGTCCCTCCTGCCAGCCCGAGGGCACGTTGCCTTTCCCAGCATCAGGCTAGAGCAAGGACTGTCTGGAGAGGAGAGCTTGGCACAAAGACACGTTGGTATGAAACTCTCTTCCACCTTCTGCTCCCCCCAGAAACTGAGCCCGGGCATCACGCAGTTTGCCTACAGCTGTGTGCAGGAGCACGTGGTGTGGACCAACATCCAGTTCTGGGAGGCCATGTTCTACTGCGACGTGCAGAACCACATCCGAGCCTTGTACCTGGACAACAACGAGGAGAACCACACGGATGAGGTGAGGAGGTGACAGCGGTGCTGCGGAAGCAGCTCTCCCCAAAGGTCCGTGGGCTGATGAGGGAGCTGAAACCAGCCTGAGGGACTGGGGTTCTAAGGAAAGCTGGGGAGGGACTCTGGATGAGGGAGGGGAGCCCTAGGAGGAGGGGGAAGGCTTTGACCCTGCAAGAGGGGAGATGGAGCTGAGCTGTGGGGAAGAACTTGTTTGGTGGGAGGGTGGTGAGAGCCTGGCCCAGGTTGTGCAGAGAAGCTGTGGCTGCCCCATCCCTGGAGGGGTTCAAGGGCAGGTTGGAGGGGGCTTGGAGCAACGTGGTGTGGTGGGAGGTGTCCCTGCCCAGGGCAGGGGGTGGCACTGGGGGGGCTTTAAGCTCCCTTCCAACCCAAACCAGTCTATGATTCTATGACTGGGGTGACAGAGCACTGGCAGAGGCTGCCCAGAGAGGTGGTGGAGTCTCCTTCTCTGGAGACATTCAAAACCTCCCTGGGCACGTTCCTGTGGGACCTGCTCTGGGTGGACCTGCTCTGGAAGGCGGTTGATGACTAGATGATCTCCAGAGGTCCCTTCCAACCCCATAGCATTCTGTGTTTCTCTGATCCTGTGACTGACATCTCCTTCGAACTCCTTCAGGAGAGCACGGAGGGGCCTCAGGAAGCCAAGTCTGCGCTGGAGATCGCGTCGGAGCAGCTGAGGCTCTGGCCCACCATGAGCCGAGAGAAGCAGCAGGAGCTGATCCAGAAGGAGGAGAGCACTGTCTTTAGCCAGGCCATCCACTACGCCAACCGCATGAGCTACCTGCTCCTGCCGCTCGACACCAGCAAGAACCGCCTGCTCCGCAGCTCCGGGCTGGGGGACGTGGAGAGTGTCAGCAACAGCTTCGTCACCAACAGGTAACAGGGCTGGAGAGCTGCGGGGACACTGGAGCAGCCTGAACCAGGGATGGGAGCTCCATGGGGCAGGACCTGGGACATCTGAGTCACTCAGCTGCCGTTGGGACTGATGCGGGTTTGTCCAGGGGTGTTTCATACCCAGAGAGGAAGCCGGAGAGCTCTGAGGGATGGCTGACACCCCAGAAGGCTGTGCTGCCATTCAGTGAGACCTGGACAGGCTGGAGAGTTGGGTGGAGAGAAACCTGATGGAATTCAATGAGGGCAAGTGCAGGGTGATGCACTTGGGGAGGAATCACCCCCTGCACCAGGACAGGTTGGGGGGGACCTGCTGGAGAGCAGCTCTGGGGAGAAAGACCGGGGAGTCCTGGGGGACACCAGGATGCCCAGGAGCCAGCAATGGGCCCTGGTGGCCAAGAAGGCCAAGGGCATCCTGGGGGGCATCAAGAAGAGCGTGGGCAGCAGGTGGAGGGAGGTCATCCTGCCCCTCTGCTCTGCCCTGGGGAGGCCCCAGCTGCAGCACTGGGACCAGTGCTGGGCTCCCCAGTTGCAGAAGGCCAGGGAAGTGGTGGAGAGGGCAGAGCAAAGGGCTGCCAAGATGGTGAGGGGCCTAGAGCATCTGTGTGCTGAGGAAAGGCTGAGGGACTTGGGTGTGTTTAGTGTGGAGAAGAGCAGAGGGAGGGGGGATCTGCTCAAGGCCTGGCAATCCTTCCAGGGGGGGTGTCAGGAGGATGGGGCCAGGCTTTTCCCAGTGGTGCCCAGGGCCAGGCCAAGAGGGAACGGGCACCAACTGGAGCAGGGGAAGCTCCATGGGACCACCCTGAGGAGGCCGTTGTTTGGTGTGAGGGTGGCAGAGGCCTGGCAGAGGCTGCCCAGAGAGGTGGTGGAGTCTCCTTCTCTGGAGACATTGCAACCCCCTGGAGACGTTGCTGTGGGAGCTGCTGTGGGTGTCCCTGCTCTGGCAGGGGGTTGGCCTGGGTGCTCTCCAGAGGTCCCTGCCAACCCCACATCACTCTGGGGTTCTGTGACAGCATCGCCGGCAGCGTGGCAGAGAGCTACGACACAGAAAGTGGGTTTGAGGACGCAGAGAGCTCTGACGTGGCCAACTACGTGGTGCGATTCATCAACCGCTTCGTGGACAAAGTCTGTACAGAGAGTGGAGTCACCAACGAGCACCTCAAGGGGCTGCACGTCATGATCCCTGGTAAGGCAGGCTGTGGTGGTGCTGGGGAGTGGGCACCCATGTGCTCTCCCTGGGGGTGCTTCCACATCAGCTCAGGGTTCTGCCCAAGAGATGTTCCTGCAAGAAGTGGTGGGAAGGCCAGGAGAAGGCACAGACAGTGCTGTGGGGCAGGATGTCACCCCTGGGTGGTGTGTCGGGCAGGACTTTGTTCTGTAGTTTCAGTCTCTAACTTCACATTTGTCTGCAGATATTGTACAGATGCACATAGAGACACTGGACGCCGTGCACAGGGAGAGCAAGAGGCTTCCTCCCATCCAGAAGGTGGGGACCTGGCCTGCTGCGGTGGGGGGAAGGCTCTGGTGCCGTGTGGGGCTGTCAGGTCCCCTTCCACCCTCTGCATGGGCCTGAACTTGCCATTGTACGTCCCCGTAGCCAAAGCTGCTGCGCCCCAACCTGTTGGTGGGTGAGGAGTGTGTGATGGAAGGGCTCCGCGTGTTCCTCATGCCCGATGGTCGGGAAGAAGCTGCTGGAGGGATCATTGGTGGCCCACCTCTCCTCCCCGCCGAAGGAGCCATCTTCCTCACCACTTACCGCATCATCTTCAAAGGCACTCCCACGGACCCTCTGGGTAAGGGGCTTCTGTCCACCACATCCTCTGTCTTCAGGGGTTGGGGAGGAGGTGGCTCTCCTGGAGCAGGGGCTGCAGCTCACCCTGGGTGGCCTTGGGTGAGTGATCAGCGTGCTGGGGGCTTGCTGGGGGCTGCTGAAACCACCACAGGCTTGATGGTGGCTCCCGGTACTACAAAGGAGGTGGTTGCTCTTGCTGCCCACCTTTGGTAGATCACAGAATTTTCTAGGTTGGAAGGGACCTTAAAGATCATCTTGTCCAACCGTCAACCCAACTGACAAAAATAGACACCCACAAGATGATAGAATCATGGAATGGTTTGGGTTGGAAAGGACCTTAAAGCCCCCCCAGTGCCACCCCCTGCCCTGGGCAGGGACACCTCCCACCAGCCCAGCTTGCTCCAAGCCCCCTCCAACCTGCCCTTGAACCCCTCCAGGGATGGGGCAGCCACAGCTTCTCGGGGCAACCTCAGGCTCTCACCACCCTCTATATTGATAAATCGATAAACCCCTCAAAAATGATCTATTACTCCTGCCCATCCTGAGCAGCATCTACAAGTTGCCATTGGTTGGCTGTCCTATGTCTAAGCCTGTTTCTGTCTGCTTTACCCCACTCTGGTGTGGTGGCCACCAAGAGTGGCCCAGTGTGGTGTTGTGCTGGGCTGTGGGACGTGTCTAACCTGTCCCCATGCTTGTCCCCAGTGGGGGAGCAGGTGGTGATCCGGTCCTTCCCCATCGCCTCACTGACCAAAGAGAAGAAGCTCAATGTCCAGGCCCCGATGGATCAGTTCATCCAGGAGGGCTTGCAGCTGCGCTCCTGCACATTCCAGGTGAGACCCATGGGCTGCTCCTTTGCATTGCGTGCTCTCAGCTGAGGAGCTCGTTACTGGTGGGACCCAGTGGGTACCTGGCCATGGCTGGCACCTTGAGACGAGGCACTTGGTGCCCGGGCTGACCTGGTTTGGGGGTAGTTTTCCTGAGGAGGCCAAAGACAACTTCTGTAGGAGGTGACAGTGCACCTGAGGGGATGGAGCCAGAGGACTCTTGCAGAGGAAGGAGGAGGCTTTGGTCCACAGAATCATAGAATGGTTTGGGTTGGAAGGGTCTTCTGAAGGCCATCGAGTTCCACCCCCCAGCCCTGGGCAGGGACACCTCCCACCACACCACGTTGCTCCAAGCCCCCTCCAACCTGCCCTTGAACCCCTCCAGGGATGGGGCAGCCACAGCTTCTCTGGCCAACCTGGGCCAGGCTCTCACCACCCTCCCACCAAACAAGTTCTTCCCCACAGCTCAGCTCCATCTCCCCTCTTGCAGGGTCCAACCCTTCCCCCTCCTCCTAGGGCTCCCCTCCCTCATCCAGAGTCCCTCCCCAGCTTTCCTGGAGCCCCCCCCTTGAGGGACTGGAAGGGGCTCTGAGGTCTCCCCGGAGCCTTCTCTTCTCCAGGCTGAACCCCCCAACTCTCTCAGCCCCCCCTCCCAGCAGAGGGGCTCCATTCCCAGTTCTGTTGAATGCAGGAGCAGCTTCTTGCTCATGAGCTTGGGGTCCTTCCCAACTGCTCTGGTGGCTGCTGGAGCCCTGGGAAGGTGTGAGATGTCCCCACCCAACACCCTGAGGGGTGCTTCTGCAGAACCTTGTAGCAGGTATCGGGGGAGAGGGATAAAGAAAGGAGAGATGTCACAACACGAGTAGTTATTTGGTGTTTTTACATCTTTGAGAGGCCTGTGGAGGCAGAGCGATGCTGGGAGGAGAGCACCTAAAGTGTGCTGTCCCCTCCTTCCTGCCCATCTCGGGCGCTCTGAGCCGCGGTGACCGGGCACTGGGGACATCACGGGAGCACTGGTGGCCCTTCAGCCCGCTCTTTGCTGTTCCTGCAGTTGCTGAAGATCGCCTTCGATGAGGAGGTGGCTTCAGACAGCGCTGAGGTCTTCAGGAAGCACCTGCACAAGCTGCGCTACCCCCAGCACGTGCGTGGCACCTTCGCCTTCACCGTGGGCCAGTCTCCCAAGCAAGCCATGCAGCCCAAGGCCAAGGAGAAGAACCCCTCGCTCAGGTACCCACGCGGGGGGAGCACCTGGGACGTGCTTCACCTTCACCTCAGGGCTTCTCCTCTCCCTCCTCCAGCCACTGAGGAAGCTGAGTTGGAGATCAGGGTGAGACCCTGCTCAGGCCTCTCCTTGTGCAGGAGCTCAGCTCGTCCTGGGGAGGGGACGTGCCACAGAGGTCTCCTGGCCCCATGCAGAGGACTGGTCATAGGATCATAGAATGATCCAGGTTGGAAGGGACCTTTCAGATCATGGAGTCCAACCATGGACCCAGCACTGCCAAACCCACCACTGACCCGTGTCCCTCAGCACCACGTCTGCCCGGCTTTGAAATCCCTCCAGGGATGGGGACTCCACCACTGCCCTGGGCAGCCTCTGCCAAGGCTTCACAGCCCTTTTGGGGAGGAAATTGTTCCCAATCTCCATCCTAAACCTCCCCTGGGGCAACTTGAGGCCATTTCCTCTTGTCCCATGGCCTGTTCCTTGGGAGAAGAGGCCAACCTCCCCTGGCTACCCCCTCCTTTCAGGGAGTTGGAGAGAGCGAGAAGGTCTCCCCTCATCCCCCTTCTCTCCAGGCTGACCCCCCCCAGCTCCCTCACAAGACTTGTTCAAAGGGTCAAACGTGGGGAGCGGGGTGGTTGCCCCATGGCATTCCCAGGCCAAAAGAGCAGAAGCCCTGAGCACAAGTCCCTCTCTGGGGAGAGGTTCCAGTGGGCAGGGGAGAGCAGTCCCAGCCGTGCCGGAGGTCGGGGAGCGCTGTGGGGCAGCAGCGAAGCTCTGTGCGTGGTGCCAGGCCCTGCTCCTGCGCTCGGGGCCGAGGCTGAGCGGTGGCTGTGGCGCTGGGCTCTGGCTGCTGCTGTGTCCCCGCTTGGTGTGGCCCTGCAGTCTAAGCCCCTCTCCCCGTGTCTTTGTGACTCAGCTCCCAGCAGGTGACCGATATCTTCCAGGGCCTGACAGTGGGGGTCCTGTCCCTCGGGCACCTTGGCCATTCGACCACGTAAGATGCCTTCACCCTGGGCGGGAGCTTGCGAGGTGGCATTGGCTCAGGCTGCAGCCTTCACTGCTCCCGGGGTTTCCTTCTCACCTGCTCTGCATGCCACCTGGGCCGGGGGCTTGTCACTCGGGGAATGCCCTTTCTGACCTTCAGGTTTTGGGGTGCGTGCTCTCTCACCATCCCAGCGCCGTGGCCTCCGGAGGCGGGCGGTCGGTCACCCTCCTTCTCTGTGGCACTCGGGTGGGTGCCAGGACCTGCTGATGGAGCTGCGCCTCTCCCACTAACCTCCTGAGGCCTCCCGAGCTGCTGGGCCTGGGCACGGGCTCAGAACTCTGTCTGAACTTGGGAGATGTGCTCTGTCACCCCCTTCCAAGTCTGCATCCAGTGCCCCACACCATCTGCAAACCCCGCTTCTCCGGTTAGGAAGCCCTTCCATTCCTCTCCTCCCTGCCTGAGCATTTCATAGAATCATAGGATCACGGAACATTTTGGGTTGAGGGGACCCAGTGCCACCCACTGCCCTGGGCAGGGACACCTCCCACCAGCCCAGGTTGCTCCAAGCCCCCTCCAACCTGCCCTTGAACCCCTCCAGGGATGGGGCAGCCACAGCTTCTCTGGCCAACCTGGGCCAGGCTCTCACCACCCTCCCACCAAACAAGTTCTTCCCCACAGCTCAGCTCCATCTCCCCTCTTGCAGGGTCCAACCCTTCCCCCTCCTCCTAGGGCTCCCCTCCCTCATCCAGAGTCCCTCCCCAGCTTTCCTGGAGCCCCCTCCTTGAGGGACTGGAAGGGGCTCCAAGGTCTCCCTGGAGCCTTCTCTTCTCCAGGCTGAACCCCCCAACTCTCTCAGCCCCCCCTCCCAGCAGAGGGGCTCCAGCCCTTCCAGCATCTCCATGGCCTCCTCTGGCCCCACTCCATCAGGTCCATGTCTCCTGTGCTGAGGCCCCAGAGTTGGAGGCAGTTCTCAGGACCATGTTATTCCTCGGCCCTGAGGCTCTCCCTCCCTCAGTAAATGCTGGGAGCAGTTGGATTCCCTCACCATCTTCTTTGCAAAGCACAAGAAGGCACCTCCAAGTCTCCCTTTGCCCCCATCTGGATAAGCTGAATTCCTAGAAATGTTCACATCAGCGTAGCTGTTCTCCTGGGCTGGACCTGGCCCCTTCCCTGGCTGATGAACCTCCCACGTCTCCTTTATTTGCTCCCCTTTGGGCCCAGGGGCTCACAGAGACACTGACGAGCGCGAGGTCCTGCCTGTGGGCAGAGCATTCCTGCCTTCAGGAATCCCTGCCTTCTGGGGCTCCGTCGTGCGGAGCCTCTTCTGACCACGCAGCCTGATGCCCCGCGGGTTTGGGAAGGTCTCCTTTCCCTGCTTCCCTTGGGCTGCCAATCCTTGCTCACTCTCCGTGTCCCTTACCTGGCATCTCTGCAAGATGCCTCCTCTCTGCCCGGGGAGCAGCAGCCCCGTGTCCCGACTGGGCTGGCATGGTCCCTGTGGTGGGTCCCCCGGCCACCTCCTCCAGGGATGAGCCAAATCACTGCCTGTGGCAGCTCCGATGGGGAGGTGATGGCCTTAGAACCCAGGACGTGGCTGGTGTCCCCTCGGGTTGGGAGGCTGGGACACCTCCAGTCATCCAGCACCCCAGGCACCCACGTCCTCCCAGGGGACGACAAGCGCTGTGGGTTCTGCCTCCGTCTTGGAGCCCTCCTACAGCTGAGGAGCCTGCTCCTCCCTGCCAGGGAGCTAGGAGGTGACATCTCCCCTCCCGTGGTGACAGTGACTTTGACCCCGGGCCTGCAGCCGGTGGTGAGGGATGCTCCTGTCTCTGCTTCGCTCTGGGTGTGACTGAGTGATGGTGTCTCTAACCCTTCGGGGGCTGCTCTCTGGGCCGTAGTCCATGCACACGCAGGAGGTGGCATCCAGCCCCCTCAACCTGGTCTCTGCTTCCAGGACACTCTCCAAAAACCTGGTGAAAAATGCCAAGAAAACAATTGGCCGCCAGTATGTGACACGGAAGAAATACACACCGCCCACGTGGGAGCAGCGGAGCAGCCAGCACTTCCCCGAGGACAACGAGGATGAGATCTCAGGTTGGGAGCCACCTGGGCAGGGACGGGGGGGCCGTGGGGGCCGGGGCGTTTGCTGGAGCAGGAGCATCTTCCAGCTGGGAGAGATCTCGGCCGTCGCTCTGCAGGGGAGCAGGGTGGGAGCCTCCCTGGTGCAGGGTGTTGCCACCACCATCACCTCTCCCAGTTCTTGATGGTCCTCCAGCTCTGGTTTGCTGGTGGTGGCCAGTCAGCAGCTCAACATACTTCCTGGTGAGCCCTGTGGGGAGGAGGGAGTTCTTCGGGCTGTGGCCTCAGCTCCTTGGATGAAAAGTCCCAGATGTAAGCAGCAGGAGGACAGGTTAGTTAGATGTGAAAAGAGCTTGACTGGTTTGTGAGGGATGAAGGACTCGAAGGGATGGGAGTCCTCCGCGTTGGAGATTACAGGCCTGTCAGAGGAGACGTGGTGGATGGGATTGAGGGTTTCGGTGGGAGCGGTGTCCGTGGGGACCGGTCTACATGGGGCTGCATGGGATTGGACATGGCTGAGTTTGGATCTGTCCTCCTGTTCACCAAAATACTTTGGATTCTGCTGGTCCAGTCAGTGTTCAGCCCGAGGTCTGCCGCAGACGTTGCAAGCCCCCCCTGTGTCCACCATTTCAATTATTGGCAAAACATTCAGGCCCAGAAGAGATGCCTTTGAGGTCCCTGGTTGTCCTCCAGTTCTGGCACTGGGAGATGCATGAGGAGCATTAGGAAAGCTGCCTGTGGAGAGCAGCCACCCGGGGTTGTGTCTGTACGACAGGGATTTTGCCTGGATGGACATGTCCTGGGCTGAGACCCTCACTGGGGCCGGGGTCTCGCCCGTATTGCCCCCCATCTCCCAGGAGGTTGCTCTCCTCTGAGGGAGGAGGTGGGAGCAGTGTGATGGAGCAGCTCTGGATGGATCTCTGTTGGGCTGTTCCTCATCCCTCAGCGATGTGAAAGCACCAGAGAAACCTGCTGTAACGTCAGCGCCCAGCAGTTGGCTTTTCTTGGTGCTTTTAGCCTCACAAGTAAAAGCTCTCACCCCAAAGCCCAGCCCTTTGGTGGGGGCAGCTGAGCTCTCCCATCCCAGGGGAAGGTGGTGGGAGGGACCTCCTGCCCTGTCCCATCTCCGCAGGGTTGGGAGATGCCTCCAGCCCGGCTGTCTCCTCCGGCTGCGCCTGGGACATCGTGTCCGCTCCAAGGGCAGCCCCAGACTCCCCTTTGTCTCCCCAGTGTCCGAAGAGATGGACAGAAGCACTTTGACCCCCACCACCACCATCAGACCTTCGGACAAGATGACCATCAACCACTTGGTGGAGCGAGCCTGCTGCCGCGACTACCAGCGCCTGGGGCTGGGCACCCTCAGCAGCAGCCTCACCCGCTCCAAGAACGAGCCCTTCCGCATCTCCACCGTGAACCGCATGTACGCCATCTGCCGCAGGTGAGCTGGCCAGAGCCCCTGCACGGGGCCCAGCAGATGGAGAGGTCGGGTTTGAGCAGCACTCCATCATTAATGGCTTTTACAAAGGGAGAAAACAAAATAATTGAACAGAATAATTGAACGGCAACTCAGAATCATAGAATCATAGAATCATAGAATTGCCCAGGCTGGAAGGGACCTCCAAAGGCCATCTAGTCCGACCCCCCCGCAGTCAGCAGGGACACCCCCAACTAGACCAGGTTGCCCAGGGCCTCGTCGAGCCTCTCCTTGAATATCTCCAGGGAAGGGGCCTCAACCACCTCCCTGGGCAACCTGTTCCAGTGCTCCACCACCCTCACAGTGAAGAACCCTCTCCTCATCTCCAGTCTAAATCTGTTCCCCTCCAGCTTGAAGCCATTGCCCCTCGTCCTGTCACTGCAGGCCTTTCTGAACAGGTTCTCCCCAGCCTTCCTGTAGGCCCCCTCAGGTACTGGAAGGCTGCTATTAGGTCTCCCCGGAGCCTCCTCTTCTCCAGGCTGAACAACCCCAGCTCCCTCAGCCCATCCTCATAGCAGAGGTGCTCCATCCCCCTGATCATCCTTGTGGCCCTCCTCTGGACCCTCTCCATCAGGTCCATGTCCTTCTTATATTGAGGGCTCCAGACCTGCACACAATACTCCAGGTGAGGTCTCACCAGAGCAGAGTAAAGTGGCAGAATCCCCTCTCTGGACCTGCTGGCAACGCAGCTTTTGAGTCAAAACCAGCGAGATTCACACTGACTTCCTAGAAGGTATCCCCAGAAGGTGACCCCCTAGAAGGTATCCCCAGTCGGTGCATATACCTGTGAGTAAGGCTACAAATCATGGGTTAATACATCTACATGTATATATCTCAGCACAGCATAGAAGCTCACACGTGCACACACACATAGAGGTCTCCGATGGGGAATTTCTTAATAGCAGACAATGCCAGAGAACCCAAAGGGGACGCTTGTAGGTCCTACACCTGCTGGGATGGACAGAGGAGCATCCCCATCCATGAAGCTGATGCGATCTCACACTGTAGAGGTGGATGAGAGAGAGACCAGCCTAGAGTTACAATTTCCCACTGTTTAGTGTGAGGAAGAGGAGGCTGAGGGGACACCTCATCACTCTCTACAACTACTCAAAAGGACACTGTAGAGAGGTTGGTGCTGGTCTCTTCTCACAGGTAATTAACGACAGAACAAGAGGGAATGGCTTCAAGCTCCAACAGGGGAGGTTTAGACTGGACATTAGGAAGGAATTTTTCACCCAAAGAGTGGTCGGGCATTGGAACAGGCTGCCCAGGGAGGGGGTGGAGTCCCCATCCCTGGCTGTGTTTAAGGGCTGTTTAGATGCAGTGCTAAGGGACATGGTGTAGGGGAGGACTTTGTAGAGTAGGGGAGATGGTTGGACTCGATGATCCCAAGGGTCTCTTCCAACCTGAATGATTCTATGATTTCTCAGATGTAGAATAACTACTGAGGGTGCATTGACGTTCCTCAGCGGGCGGTGGTTGAGGCTTAAGAAGGGTCTTCTCCCGCCCTGCCCTCGAGGAGTTAGCCCAAGAGGTCTCTCAGCTCAGGGGAGTCACTGGCCACTGCCCTTTGCCATCCAGGGGAGCTCAAAGGGTCTTTCCTGAAGGGCTGGGGGGGTCGCACGGCCACGGTGCTGCTCCCCGCTGGGCTCTGCAGAGCCTCCCCTCTCCCCTGCAGCTACCCCGGGCTGCTCATCGTGCCGCAGAGCATCCAGGACAACACCATCCAGCGCATCTCCCGCTGCTACCGCCAGAACCGCTTCCCCGTGGTCTGCTGGAGGAACTCCCGCACCAAGGCCGTGCTGCTGCGCTCGGGGGGGCTGCACGGCAAGGGAGTGGTGGGGCTCTTCAAGTCCCAGAACGCCCCCACCGCAGGTACCCGTCCCCTCCGTGCCCCGGGGCAGGCAGGGAGCGGGCTGCAGACCCCCCCTCCTCGGGGTCCAGTGCTGGTGGCGGAGCCGTGATGCCGGTGGGCTCTCTCCTCCCAGGTCCCTCGCAGACGGACTCCACCAGTTTGGAGCAGGAGAAGTACCTGCAGGCCGTCATCAACTCCATGCCGCACTACGCCGACGCCGGCGGGCGCAACACGCTCAGCGGCTTCACCTCGGCGCACATGAGCAGCTCAGGTGAGGAGCTGGGCCGCGGCGCGGCGGGGGGTGCAGGAGGGTCCTGCTCTCCCTCCCACAGCCCAGGCAGCCAGGTGAGCGGCCGTGCCCCCTCTCCCACCGCGGAGGAGGCAGCAGAGCCTTCCCGGCGCCCTCTCCAGAGCTCCCAGCACCGGCCCAACTTGCCCAGGACCAGACGGGCACGGCCGCTCTCTGCCCCGGGGGTGGTGGCCACTGTCTGCGGGCACTGGGCTCCCTGTGGCCAGAGGGGAGGTGGAGGTGGCCACTCTGCTGCCAGCTGCCTGGGCCGTGACAAAGGGGCTCCCTGTCTTGGCGGGGGGCACGGTCTTGTCTCGGGGGGCAGGGGGGGGGCACATTCCCCGTGGGAGGTGCTGGATGCTGCAGCCTCCTCTGAGCCCTGGTGCCGTCCCCTCTGTCCCCTTGCCTGGGGGGGTCCAGACTGGCCCCAGGACGAGGGTCCCCCGCCGGCAGTGACACGGCTGGGCACCGTGGTGCCACCCCATCCCTTTGCACAGGTCACCACCCCCCCCAAGCCCTCCTGCAGGAAGGAGGGGGCAGCCCCCCCCCAGGGCACCCCACAGCGCTGCCCCCTGCTCCCACTGCTCAGGGCTCTCCCCGCCCCATCCCCTGTCCCTGTGCTCTGCGCCCCCCGGGACCGAACCCGTGGCTGGTGGTGGGGATGGGTTTTGGGAGCCTGCGAGCACTGGGAGCCCCAGGACTGTGCTGGGATCCAGGCGCTCGCTGGGGAGCGGGTGGGGACGGACCCCCCCTAACTGAGATCTGGGCACCGTCCGCCCCCTCCAGCCCGGGGTCTGTCGTGGGAAGCCTCGGTAAGTCTCTGCCCCCCTCGCTCTCCGAGCAGCCTGCCCTTTCCTGCCGGGGCAGAGCCTCCTCTCCGCGCTCCAGCGTCATCCATCCTCCATCCCAGCCATTCCACCCCCTCATCGCTGCAGAGGTCACCGGGAGCCAGAGGGACCCGGACAGGGACAGCCCTGGTGGGAACCCAGGGAGACCCAGGGGGATCCCTGCAGCCTGGGCAGCAGAGGACTTGCCAAAAGCCCCTCTGAGGTCTCTCCCCTGACATGGGGGAACATTCCCAGAGCTCCAGCTGAGGGAGGAGGGGGTCAGACCAGCAGATGACCTGGCGTGGTGGGGAGGGAGCAGCAGCGCAGGGGGCTGTGGGCGGTGGCAGTGCCTAGGTGACCCCCCCACAGTCCAGGGCTGCAGGAGGGTCGAGCCCCTGCTGCTGCACCAGCTGCCTTTGTGCTGTGGCTCCAGCTGGAAGGTGTCTCCCGCATGTTGGCCTCCTGGTCCTGGCCCTGGGCCCTCCTGCTTGCCACCTCTTGTCTCTCGCTGGCCCCTTCCCCTCCCTCCTGAGCAGTTGTGGGGGGGCCAAAGCGGGGGGGCCGCTCTGGAGCAGCGCAGCGAGGCCGGGAGCTGACATTCTGTTGGTGCTACAGATTTCTCCGACAAGAGGCAGCCTAAGCTGGGATCGCTCATGAAGCAGGTGATGGGAGGGAAGGACGATGGGCCCGGTACTATTAGCCGCGGAGGTGAGGACGTGCGAGTGAAACGCTGCCTCGTGGGGGCCTCGCCAAGGCCCCCCCCGGCTCGGGGCAGCCTTTGTAGAGTAGATGCTTCCCCTTGGCTCCCCCCGAGCTCTGTGCTGTGGGGCAGCCGCAGGGAGGGCGGGAGGGACCTGCTGCAGCTCCCATCTTCCTTCATCATCCCACCCATTGCTCCGCTCGCTGCCTCCGGGCTCCCCGGGCGCCTCTTCCCGCCCGGCCCCGGGGAGAGCGTGGCTCCTGCTGCCCGCGCTGAGGCCGCTCTCGTCCTGTGCTCTCAGGGCTGGCTCACAGAGCCAGGGTCATCACTCTCTCCACCCCAAAGTGCGTGTCGCCGAAGGGCCGCGAGACGCCCCGAGGTACGGTACCGCCGGCGTCCTAACCACCGCCGCCCGGGTGCTAACCTCACCCCCCCCACACGCACTCCCACCCCTCACACAACTAACGCCCCACCAACACCCCACCAACACCCAGCATGTCGCTGGCGCGGTCCAGCTCCCGGTGCCGGCGGTAAGTACCGGGCCCGTCCCCAAACCCCCTCCTCAGGTTTGCTTTAGGCTCCTTGCGCATCTGCTGGTGCTGGGGTGGTGGTGGTGGTGGCCGGGGAGGGGGCTGGCTGGCAGGGAAGGGGTCCCGGTGGCGCTGGGGGCTGGGGGCTGGGGGCTGGTCTCTGTCCCCTCCAGGCAGGAAATCAATCCGAGAGCACCCAGCAAGGAGAAGGAGCAAAAGCAAACCTGGTTCCCAGCATGTGCTCCCGGGGCTGCGGGGTGACAGCAGCTCGGCCACCGCTTTTCCAACCCCGATGCCAGCCTGGCTTCGGGGGGGGACGTGGACAACCGGGGACCCCCAGCCTGACTGCCCTCTGTCCTGCAGGCAAGTGGGGCAGCATCCGGGCCAGCGGGCGCATGAGCAGCTACGCCCTGAACATGGAGATCGGGTCCCGCCTGGCTGGGAAGGACCTGCTGGGTGCCCAGCACAACGGCACCCCCGCGGAGGCCAGCTTCCTGCGCCAGCACCGCGCATCCCTCTACATCATCGGCGACAAGTCGCAGCTGAAGGTAACCCCGGTGCCTGGCCATGGCCTCCTCCTCAGGGGGGGGGACAAGGAGAGAGTCCAGAGAAGGGCAACGGGGCTGGGGAGGGGGCTGGAGACCAAGGAGAAGGGGCTGGAGAACTTCTGAGGGAGCTGGGGGTGTTCAGCCTGGAGAAAAGGGGGATGAGGGGAGACCTTCTTGCTCTCTCCAACTCCCTGAAAGGAGGGGGCAGCCAGGGGGGGTCGGTCTCTTCTCCCAAGGAACAGGCCATGGGACAAGAGGAAACGGCCTCAAGTTGCCCCAGGGGAGGTTTAGGATGGAGATTGGGGAAAATGTCCTCCCCCAAAGGGTTGTGAAGCCTTGGCAGAGGCTGTCCAGGGCAGTGGTGGAGTCCCCATCCCTGGAGGGATTTCAAAGCCGGGCAGACGTGGTGCTGAGGGACATGGGTCAGTGGGGGTTTGGGCAGTGCGGGGTTGGTGGTTGGAATCAATGCTATTAAACATCCAGCCTCAACGATTCTGTGGTTCTATGTTTACTAAAATTTGTATTTCTTAGAATTACAGAGTCACAGAAGGGTTTAGGTTGAAGGGACCTTTAAAGACCAACGAGTCCAACCCTCTGCCCTTAAGCAGGGACACCTCCCACCAGACCAGGTTGTTCAGAGCCCCGTCCAGTCTGACCTTGGAAAACTGACCTTGGACTCCATGATCTTAAAGACCTTTTCCAACCTCAGGGATTCTGTGGTTCTTGGGGGGGCAGTGGATCTGCTCGGGGGGGTCTCTCGGGGCGGTGCTGATTCTCTCCTCCCTCAGGGGGTGAAGCCGGACCCACTGCAGCACTGGGAGGTGGTGCCCATCGAGGTGTTCGACGTGCGGCAGGTGAAGGCCAGCTTCAAGAAGCTGATGAAGGCCTGTGTGCCCGGCTGCTCCACCATCGATCCCAGCAGCACCTACTTGCGGTCCCTGGAGGAGTCCGAGTGGCTGTCCCAGGTCAGTTGTCACCCAAAGCCCAGGGGGGCCCTGGGCAGTCCCCACAGTAGGAGTCTTTGCTGTTGGCTGTCGCTCACGGGCATGTGTCCTGAGCTCCTGTGAGGTGAGAGTGAAGGTCCATGTGCCCTCTCCAAAAGCATCGCTGTGGCACAGAACAGGGGACACCAAGGGGAAAGGCCGGTGTGAGGAACAGGATAAAAAGATGCTCAAAAAGATGCTCCTCAGCATCTTTCTGCTGAGGAAAGGCTGAGGGACTTGGGTGTGTTTACCTAGAGCATCTCTGTGCTGAGGAAAGGCTGAGGGACTTGGGTGTGTTTAGTGTGGAGAAGAGCAGAGGGAGGGGGGATCTGCTCAAGGCCTGGCAATCCTTCCAGGGTGGGTGTCAGGAGGATGGGGCCAGGCTTTTCCCAGTGGTGCCCAGGGCCAGGCCAAGAGGGAACGGGCACCAACTGGAGCAGGGGAAGCTCCATGGGAACACCATGAGGAGGCCGTTGTTTGGTGTGAGGGTGGCAGAGGCCTGGCAGAGGCTGCCCAGAGAGGTGGTGGAGTCTCCTTCTCTGGAGACATTGCAACCCCCCTGGAGACGTTGCTGTGGGAGCTGCTGTGGGTGTCCCTGCTCTGGCAGGGGGTTGGACTGGGTGCTCTCCAGAGGTCCCTGCCAACCCCAGGTCACTCTGGGGTTGTGTGACAATAGCCCAGAGTTCTCCTCGGTGTCTCTGGACATGAGATCTGTGAGTGTTTGGGGCAGCTGAGGGAGTGGGGCAGGACTCACAGGACAGCAGAACACTGCAGAGGGGCTGGTATAAGGCAGTGCCTGCTGTGGGGAGCGAGGGACCCACAGCTCTGCTCGTGGCATGGTGGTTCTGCCATTGCAGATGAAGGGTCCTGTATGGTGTCTGAGTGTGGGAGTCATGGCCCTGTGTAGCCCCCCCTGCTCTGCTCCGTTTGGTCCCTGCTCCCAGGGGACGGGGTCCCTTCTCACAACCTCCAGCGAGTGATTTTCCTGCGCCCCGATAACTCTCAGCCCTTCCCTCGGCAGATCCATAAGATCCTGCAGATCTCGGTGTTGGTGGTGGAGCTCCTGGACACGGGCTCCTCCGTGCTGGTCAGCCTGGAGGACGGCTGGGACATCACCACGCAGGTAGGAGCCCTTGGGCTGCCAGACACGATGGCTGCCCGTGGCCCTGTCCCCAGGAGTATCTCGAGCCCCCCCTGTCCCCCCCACAGGTGGTCTCCTTGGTGCAGCTGCTCTCGGACCCCTACTACCGGACGCTGGAGGGCTTCCGCCTGCTGGTGGAGAAGGAGTGGTTGTCCTTCGGGCACCGCTTCAGCCACCGTGGGGCACAGACCCTGGCCGGCCAGAGCAGCGGGTTTGCCCCCATCTTCCTCCAGTTCCTGGACTGTGTCCATCAGGTGAGCTCCGAGTGCTCCCCGTCTCCCTGAGCGGCGGGGCTGGCTCCTTGTGCAGTGGGCAACAAGCCCCGAGCCGGTGTGTGGGTGCCGGGAGGTCTCACCCCTCCTGCTCCTCGCAGATCCACCTGCAGTTCCCCATGGAGTTCGAGTTCAGCCAGTACTACCTGAAGTTCCTCAGCTACCACTACATCTCCAACCGCTTCCGCACCTTCCTGCTGGACTCCGACTACGAGCGCATCGAGCTGGGTGAGGGCAGCGTGCGGGCCCCGCGCTGATGGCAGCCCAGTGTCTTCTCCACGTAATCCCCCTCCCCACTCTTCTCCCCAGGCCTCCTTTACGAGGAGAAGGGCGAGCGGAAGAGCCAGGCGGTCTACAAATCCATCTGGGATTACATCGACCGCCTGAACAAGAAGGCCCCCGTCTTCTTCAACTACATGTATGCCCCCGAGGATGGGGAGGTGAGAGCTCTGCTCCTGCCCTGGGGCAGCCCGGCCAAGCCCCCCTGTGACACACAGAGCTGGGACGGGGCTCTCTGGGGGCACCCTGGGGTCCCCTCGCCTGCATGGAGCCAGGGAGCAGCCCTTTGTTGGCTGGACCAGTGTTTGCCCACCTGAGTGGTCCCGGGGAGGGTGGTTGCCACCTTGGGGGGCAGGAGCAGAGTCAGGCCCTCAAGAGCCCTGTCCCTGCAGAGGAGTCAAGGGAGGGAGGTGAGGTTTCAGGGGGCTGGGGCAGGGGGGGATCCCCAGCTGGAGCTGCCGGGGTCTCCTTTAGGGCTCTTCACCACCTCCCAAGCAGGGGGGTCCTTCCTCGGGGCAGCATGGGGACTGCTCTGCCAACCTGCTCCGAGCCCTCCTTTGGGCTGGGCCCAGCCTTGGCCAAAGCTCTGCCTTTCTCCAGCCCAGCATTGCCTCCTCCCGGCCACCCCGCAGCCGTCCTGCCTCGGCTGCCTCCTGTTTCTGGGCAAAAAGCATCGCCCTTGGGGAAAACTCATCGTGAAGAGACTGAATTCCCATCTGGAGGGACTGTCCCTGCAGCAGAATCATAGAATCATAGAATGGTTTGGGTTGGAAGGGACCTCAAAGATCATCGAGTTCCAACCCCCTGCCCTGGGCAGGGACACCTCCCACCAGCCCAGGTTGCTCAAGGCCCCATCCAGCCTGGCCTTGAACCCCTCCAGGGATGGGGCAGCCACAACTTCCCTGGGCAACCTGTTCCAGTGTCTCACCACCCTCAGAGTAAAAAAATTCTTCCTGAGATCTAATCTGAATCTTTTTTCTTCCAATTTAAAACCATTTCCCCTTGTCCTATCACTACACTTCCTGGCAAAGAGTCCCTCCCCAGCTCTTCTATAGGCACCCTTCAGATACTGAAAGGCCGCTCTAAGGTCTCCCCGGAGCCTCCTCTTCTCCAGGCTGAACAATCCCAGCTCCCTCAGCCTGTCAGGACCAGGGACACATCCTGCCCAGGGGCTGCTGCCCTTCCTGAGCATCCTCTGCTTCTTCCCCAGGTGCTGAGGCCCTACAGCAACATTTCCAACCTGAAGGTGTGGGACTACTACACGGAGGAGACGCTTTCCGAGGGCCCCTCCTACGACTGGGAGCTGGCGCAGGGGCAGCCGGAGCACGTGGAGGAGGATCGGCAGGACACCAGTGCCCCCCAGACCAAGCGCAAGATCATCTGGCCCTGCTACGACAACCGCAGCCGCGTGGAGCCCGACGCCATCTCCAAACTGCTGGAGGTGAGTCTGGCCAGGGGGCTGCGGGGGCTGCTGCTCCCCTCTGCTCTGCACCCCAGGGGTTTGTGTCTCGTCCTCAGCAGGTTCCCATCTTCACCCCCTGCACCAGGACAGGGTGGGGGGGACCTGCTGGAGAGCAGCTCTGGGGAGAAAGACCTGGGAGTCCTGGGGGACACCAGGATGCCCAGGAGCCAGCAATGGGCCCTGGTGGCCAAGAAGGCCAAGGGCATCCTGGGGGGCATCAAGAAGAGCGTGGCCAGCAGGTGGAGGGAGGTCATCCTGCCCCTCTGCTCTGCCCTGGGGAGGCCCCAGCTGCAGCACTGGGACCAGTGCTGGGCTCCCCAGTTGCAGAAGGCCAGGGAAGTGGTGGAGAGGGCAGAGCAAAGGGCTGCCAAGATGGTGAGGGGCCTAGAGCATCTCTGTGCTGAGGAAAGGCTGAGGGCCTTGGGTGTGTTTAGTGTGGAGAAGAGCAGAGGGAGGGGGGATGTGCTCAAGGCCTGGCAATCCTTCCAGGGGGGGTGTCAGGAGGATGGGGCCAGGCTTTTCCCAGTGGTGCCCAGGGCCAGGCCAAGAGGGAACGGGCACCAACTGGAGCAGGGGAAGCTCCATGGGAACACCCTGAGGAGGCCGTTGTTTGGTGTGAGGGTGGCAGAGGCCTGGCAGAGGCTGCCCAGAGAGGTGGTGGAGTCTCCTTCTCTGGAGACATTGCAACCCCCCTGGAGACGTTGCTGTGGGAGCTGCTGTGGGTGCCCCTGCTCTGGCAGGGGGTTGGCCTGGGTGCTCTCCAGAGGTCCCTGCCAACCCCTTGTGATTCTGTGATTCAATTTGGTCTCCCCGTGGTGTCCCCAGGGCTGGGACACTGCCCCGTGCAGTCAGTTGAGCCCCCTCCTGGGGTCAGAGGTCCCAGGGGTTGTGTCCCCATCTGGGCTGATGCCTGAATGTCCCCCACAGGAGCTGCACAACCTGGAGATGGAGCTGGGGCAGATCCCGGAGCGCTGGAAGGACACGTGGGACAAGGTGAAGGCTTCCCAGCGCACGGAGGTGCGGCAGGAGGGCAGCCGGGTAGGTGGGGGCTGCGTCACGGGGGGCTGAGGGGGGGGTTGGCTCTGCCCAAGGGTGCTCCAAGCCAAGGGGGTGTTCGCTCCTGGGGCCCAGGACGGTGCTGGGTGCTCCCCCTCACCCCGTCCCCTCTGCTCCCCACAGACCCCCAGCTCCCTGCTGATGTCCTCTGGCCTTTCCCACCACCGGCGCTCCCTGGGGGTCTACCTGCAGGAGAGTGGGGTGGGCTCCACCCTCAACCTCAGCCTGGACAGCGACACCAGCAGCACCTCCACCCCCTCCAGCGGGAAGCAGGGCGGCCGCAGGAGCACCAGCACGCTCTACAGCCAGTTCCAGATGTCCGAGAGCGAGAACAGGCAGGCGGGGGGCTCGGGGGGAGGGTTCCTCTCTGGGGAGGGGTCTGGGTCCTGCAGCGTGCAGACCCCCTGAAGGACACGGAGCTGTTGGAGCGGGGACAGAGGAGGCCCCGGAGATGCTGGGAGGGCTGGAGCCCCTCTGCTGGGAGGGGGGGCTGAGAGAGTTGGGGGGGTGGTTCAGCCTGGAGAAGAGAAGGCTCCGGGGAGACCTTGGAGCACCTTCCAGTCCCTCAAGGGGGGGGGGCTCCAGGAAAGCTGGGGAGGGACTCTTTAGCAGGACCTGTTGTGATAGGACAAGGGGTAATGGCTTTGAACTAAAAGAGGGAAGATTTAGCCTAGATATTGGGAGGAAGTTCTTTGCTGGGAGGGTGGTGAGAGCCTGGCCCAGGTTGGGCAGAGAAGCTGTGGCTGCCCCATCCCTGGAGGGGTTGAAGGGCAGGTTGGAGGGGGCTTGGAGCAACCTGGGCTGGTGGGAGGTGTCCCTGCCCAGGGCAGGGGGTTGGACTAGATGGTTTTTAAAGTCCCTTCCCAGCCAAACCAGTCTGTGGTTCTATGATTCTTGTCCCCAATGATGTGCCACAGCCCAAATGGCCCCTCAGCCCCTCTCTCCTTCCCCCCATAACGCGCTGCCCGGCTCCTGCAGGTCCTACGAGGGGTCACTCTTCAAGAAAGGAGCCTTCATGAAGCCGTGGAAGCCTCGCTGGTTCGTGCTGGATAAAACCAAGCACCAGGTACTGCGGGGTGGGGGGATGGGGTGGGTCTGTCTGTCTGTCCCTCCCTCCCTCCCCTGAGCGCTGACCCCCGGGACTCCCCCCGCAGCTGCGGTACTACGACAGCCGCATGGACACGGAGTGCAAAGGGGTGATCGACCTGGCCGAGGTGGAGTCCATCACCCCAGGAGCCCCCAGCATGGGGGCCCCCAAGACGGTGGATGAGAAGCTGGGGAGGGACTCTTTAGCAGGACCTGTTGTGATAGGACAAGGGGTAATGGCTTTGAACTAAAAGAGGGAAGATTTAGCCTAGATATTGGGAGGAAGTTCTTTGCTGGGAGGGTGGTGAGAGCCTGGCCCAGGTTGGGCAGAGAAGCTGTGGCTGCCCCATCCCTGGAGGGGTTGAAGGGCAGGTTGGAGGGGGCTTGGAGCAACCTGGGCTGGTGGGAGGTGTCCCTGCCCAGGGCAGGGGGTTGGACTAGATGGTTTTTAAAGTCCCTTCCCAGCCAAACCAGTCTGTGGTTCTATGATTCTTGTCCCCAATGATGTGCCACAGCCCAAATGGCCCCTCAGCCCCTCTCTCCTTCCCCCCATAACGCGCTGCCCGGCTCCTGCAGGTCCTACGAGGGGTCACTCTTCAAGAAAGGAGCCTTCATGAAGCCGTGGAAGCCTCGCTGGTTCGTGCTGGATAAAACCAAGCACCAGGTACTGCGGGGTGGGGGGATGGGGTGGGTCTGTCTGTCTGTCCCTCCCTCCCTCCCCTGAGCGCTGACCCCCGGGACTCCCCCCGCAGCTGCGGTACTACGACAGCCGCATGGACACGGAGTGCAAAGGGGTGATCGACCTGGCCGAGGTGGAGTCCATCACCCCAGGAGCCCCCAGCATGGGGGCCCCCAAGACGGTGGATGAGAAAGCCTTCTTCGACGTGAGTGTGGCCACCGCGCTGCGCCGCGGGCAACCGAGCTGGGCAACCCGTGGCCGTGACGTGGAGCCCCGACCCTTTGCTCTGGGGGCTCTCTGGGTGCAGCCCCCCCACCCCAGCCCC